AACATTAATTTTGCAATACAGTTCATAATTTAATTATTAAATAATAAAAAGTACAATTAATATCACTTTTAAATTTCATGTCTTTATATCCTCATATTACAAAGTTATAAAACTCTAAAACAAAACATAGCATTGAGTTGAATAAAAAATAATTCCTTATTTTGTGGGCAGATGGCATTAAGAGGAAGTGTTCAGTGCAATCTTCATTCAATATCTAACACCAATATTTTTGTGAAAGGTTACGTTTTTCTACGTATTTTAAGCTGTTATTTGTCAAAATCTGTGCAGTAATTTTTATTTGGCGACATTATAAACATGGAGCAAAACAAGCAATATTTTTGATATTTGATGCCTTTCTATTCTCGCAAAAGAAAAAATGTGACATAAACCAAAAAAGATATATATTGTGTATGAAGAAGATGCCATAAGCGAACGTATGTGTCAAAACTGGTTTGCGAAATTTCTTACTTGTGATGTCAAGATGACGAGCGTTCAGGTAGACCATTGATGGTTGATGACGACCAAATCAAGACATTAATTGAAAGTAGCCCACACGACACGAGAGGTCGCAGAGATAATACAACGTATCTCAAAATACCGTTGTGAACTAATCGCACACACGCTTGGTTATCTGTCTCGGTACGATATTTGGGTACCTCACAATTTGAGCGAAAAGAATTTAACGAAACCCATCTGCGATTTATTGCTCAGATGCAATGAAAACGTTCCATTTTTTAAATGGATGATAACGGGCGACGAAAAGTAGATTGTCTGTAACAATGTAGAGCACAAAAGATCGTGGGGAAAACGAGATGAATCGCCGTAAACCACACTGAAGCAAAACATCCATACGAAAAAAGTCATGCTGTATATTTGGTAGGATTGGGAAGGAATCGTGTACTACGAGCTGCTTCCGCAAAACCAAACAATTGATTCCAACAAATGTTATTCCCAATTGGAACAATTGTTTGAAGGCAACAATCGATGAGAAGTGTTCAGAATTGAGCAATCGTTGTGGTGTCATATTGCACCCAGACAACACTAGACCTCAGATATCTTTGGCAACCCGGCAAAAATTATTGCAATTTGGCTGGGATATTTTGTTTTATCCTCCGTATTCACCTGACCTGGCATTAGACTTCCACTTATTCAGATCTTTACAGAATTCTCTCCATGGAAAAAATTCTCTTCTTTGAAGGTTTGCAGAAAGCATCTTGAGCAATTTTACACTCAGAAAAGTGGAAAGTTCTGGGAGGATGGAATTTTTAATATGCCTGAAGGAATGGCGTAAGGTTATCGAACAAAAGGATACATACATTGTTCATTAAAGATAGTTTTTAATATGAAAATGTTTTTAAATGTCTTTGAATTTCACCTAAAAATATGAAATTACTTTTTACTCAAGCCAATATTTAATACAATTCACAAAAACTACAAGGTACCCAATTCTGAAACAGGCGGAACTCGAATAGTTGCTAAAATGTTAGAAACGCCATAATCTTTTAATGTCTCCAGATATGTCTAACGTTTAAGGTCATCGGAACAAATCTCATTAAAATCAATTCTTGAATAACTCCTTACGAAATTTCACTCCTACAAAACTCCTCGGCTATTCCTCAGGTACCGAAATCTTTGCGCAAAGGACGCCGACATCATGTTTCTCGATTCCCACGGTTACTGCGATCTCCGGTCGCGACCAGACAAAACCGCGGCGAATAAAGTGTAAGGGCCCGGACACACAGAAAAACTCAAGCGATAAGCAGACATAAATAGTGAGCAAATTGATCAATCACAGTTGAGTATTTTTGGACTATAAGAAGAATAATCAATTTTGATTAGTCAATTTTCTTATTGCTTGCATCTCGCTGCTTAAGTTATTTTATATGTGTCTGGATTCATATTTTAGATGCCATTGCCTTAAGGACCTAGACACTTAAGGACTTAAGGACATAGAAAAACTTGAGCAGTAAGACGTAAGCAGTAATCAGATTGATCAATCAAATTTGAATATTTTTAGGCCGTAAGAAGAGCGATTAATTTTGATTAGTCAATTTTCCTGCTGCCTGCATCTTATATTGCTTAAGTTTTCCTGCGTATCCGGACTTTAATTCCTAGCATCAAGCATAGAGACGACTGTTGCTCCGAAAATATTTCGCTAACACAGGGCTCGATATCGATGATACATAGCGGACTCTGGAACCACGAACCTTCGACTTCGAGTCGGACAATGAATCAGTAGATAAAAAGTGATTCGCTAGATCTGCTGCACTATGTGTGTTTACACACGAAAGCTGCTCACTTCGCAACGTACTATTGCACTGAGACACATCGCACGGCAACGTCATCAGCCGCCGATACATACCGGCAACTTTTCCAGACCGTTCTCGTAAACAATTATCATTATCCCTACGTTTACGAGAACGAAATCCGCTGATGAAGAAGGTTGTAATTGACGCTGTTTACAGTTTCCAACGGCGCCTGTGCCATAGAAGGGGCTATCACACCGAGAGCGGGCTCGCGCACATTCGTCGGAAGATATCGAAAGCGCCGAGATCAAAGTGGAAAGAAACGAGGGTAGGAGGTCGCGTATGCGAGAGAGTGTGAGAGAGCGTCTCCATATCTGCGGAAAAACGCGGCCGATTTATCTGAGAACTGAGACAAAACAGGCGGTGCGGTGATTAATTAAAACGCCACCGATAGAGCGCGCGCGCGCGCTCGCACTGGGACCACCCTTCGTCTCGGCTCGGCGATTGGAATCGCGGATCGCGGCCAGCCGCGCCTGCCGAGATGATCCTTCCGTGTTTTTGCGCCTACGGCCCGCTGATACCGGCCGGCCAATCAACCGGCCAACGCGTCAACACGTTATTACGCCGGCTCCCCTATCGGCGTTCGATAAGTCGTTCGGCGATAACGCCGCTGCCTCATTGATGCTGAATCGCGACGATAATTCGCTACAGTCTACTTTCGCGCGCTCATCTCGTCTTGTGTAGCGCACGTGATCGATAGCGGTCGAACGACGCGCGGTATTTAGCGTTCATGCGCCGCCGCACATGCCAACGGCCCGCGAAGCTGCAGCGAAACGTGATCTATTTCCGTTTACATTCGATCCCGAGGTGCATTCCGTCGCTGTCGCCGCCGTCGCCGCCGACGCAGATCAATAGCCCTACATGCGCTCGGTCTTTCGGCTGACGTGCGTTCACAGATCGCGGACGCCACGGTACAGTATAAGGAAGAACAATAGGTTCACTCAGCACAAAATAGTGCGAACAGTCGTTTGTCACGCATGACCGAACTGCACAACCAACAATATGGTGGCCAAAATAGCTGTCAAAATGTGTAAGTGTAAGCAACGATTTAACCATATGACCGAATTTTTTATATAATATTGTTGTTTTATTGAAATCAGTAAAACGAATGAAAGTATAAATGGTGGGTATAAATGTGGGTATAATAAACTGCAAAAATGCAAGTTCAAATTTGCAAAGCGTTAAATTTTGTTTTAATCAAAATGTGTCCCCTTCGAAACGATACAATATAAAAAAAAAGGCAGACCTCAATATCATTTAGTTTTCGAGATTTTTTACCTGTTACGTTTGAAATTTAGCACTCTGTATATATATACATCTTTCTATATTATAATTAGTAATATGCTATATTATATGCTATATTATTACTTATAATATTATTAACATATTATATTAACAATAGTTCATATTTTTATATTATTTTATAATGTATATTATAGATTTGACAGTAAATATTGAAAAACAGCAATAAATCTGTTTTAGCTACTCATATGCTAGCTATTCATTGTCATTCAAATTATAACCCGCGCACAACCAATAACACGGCGGTCTTGTAACACCTGAGATCAAAAGCACCGCCACCGACTGTTCTTTCTTATACTGTGGCCACGGTGTGGCTGATCGCGCGGAGAACTGCCTGGCTGAAATAATAATATTGTATATTTTGAATTTCTCAAGAGGTACGTATCGTTCATCATCGTGTTCCACCGTTGGCGCCGAGTGTGTGAAGCGAGCGCGGCGAGAGGAAACGGCGGCCTGCGAAGCGGGGCCTGCGAGAGACTAATACGAAATCCTCGCCGCCATCCTTCCTCCTCTCCCCCCTACCCCCGGAGGCCTTTCGATTAACCGCTACATCGAGCACGGTTACAATAGCATAATGCGGAATCGTCTAGCCGTCTAGCGTCTGGCCTTGGCGCGAGAAGGAGACCGGGCCCTTCGTTGAGCGAAGGACGGCCGAAGTAGCAAGCGAGAGCGGGAAAACGGAAGGGGAGAAGGAAGAGAAAGACAGAGAGGGATACTCGTCAATAAAAAAAGGGGGTAAAAAGAAAAAACGAGAGCTTTGTCCGCTCGTCGCCGGGTCGTCCTCGGCGAACGAAGATATGAAGGATGAAGTACCCGTGTAGTGCGCAACAAAGGGATAGGAGGGCGGAGGGGGGATAGAGAGCACGACCTCTGGTCTTCGCGGGCCAGACAGGTCAGACTCGCCGACACAAAAAGAAGAGCGCGAAGTTCGGCCAACAAAGGAATACATTACGGGACTTCATCCGGCGAACTCCACGAAGTGCGCGCTAATTGCCGAAGTAAGGGATGAATCTTCATGGCCCCTCTGCCCGCCCCTCTCTATCTAGTTCTTCTCCCTCGCCCCTCTCCACCTCGTGAGCGAGACGAGCGAGCGCGGCCAACTCGAAAAAGCAAATTCGAGCCGTCGGACGCGCGTCTGGCCGCTAACGACCCCTTCTACCGTACTGTCGTGTCGTCGTGTCGCCGGTCGACGGTCGTGGTAACTGGCGGGAGTCCGTCTACCACCGAGTTTCTCCTCCTCCTCTCCCACCTCCTCCCCCCTCGCCCTCCTCCAGCTGTCACGGTTGCTGCTGCTATTGCTGTTACTGCTGCTGCTGCTGCTGCTGCTGCTGCTACTGCTGCTACTACTGCTACTACTGCTACTGCTGCTACTGCTGCTACTGCTGCTACTGCTTTACCTCCTCTTTCTACCTCTGCCGCCGCTTCTCCCTCCTTATCGTACCTCTCTCCCCCTGGTCCCCTGAAATCTGGAACAAGAACCGCGTGGCGAGGCGGTCCGATACCAGTGGCACCGTGGAACTCGGTACCAGCGGAGGTCTCTTCATGAGAACGTGCACTTCTGCCGAGTAGTCCATATTGCGAGATCTTCGACGTTTGGGTGTCTCGAAAATATCAAAGAGACGAAAAACAGGAAACGGGCTCGAGTGACGGATCCGTTTGGCGACTTTTCCAAGGAGACGTAGCTTTTTTGAGAGAAACATCAGCCCGCGACGTCGAGACGAAGAGAACGACGTCGGAGGTACTCCCGCGAAGATCCGCGCGACACAGAAAAAAGGCAAGGACCTCTCGAGGTAACCGCCGCTGCTGGACATCTGAGAGAGAAAGAGAGAGAGAAAGAGAGAGAGAGAGCTCGAATCGGTAATTCCGATTACAACTAGCACAGCGCCGACCGAGAAGTCATCAAGATGGTACAGCGCGCGAGCAAAGCAGGAACCGTGTTGTTGGCGACATTTCTTCTGCTGAGCGTGTTACACATCATCGACTCGGTGCCTCTTAAATCGCTCCGCAGCGGCACCCTGAGACTCTGTTCAAGGAACTTGAGTGATGCGCTCTATCTTGTGTGCCGGGAACGCGGTTACAACAGCTACTCGTACAGCGACGACGACGAGACGCAGGTTGACAATGGGCCAGGCCTCGTCGACGAATGCTGTTACCATGCGTGTAGCTATGAGCAGCTTGAACGGTACTGCAAGCCCATTCCGGGCGAGAAGCAGGATGAATCGAGGGACGTCATGTGAGTGGATGTTAGTCTCTCTTTTATTTTCATCATTCGCTTTGTCCTCCTCTCCTCTCGCTCCCTACCCTCGTTATATTTGTTCAAGTTCGAGGGCGAACACACGCGCCCTCAACAACCCTTTGTCTGATTCGCCTGATCGCCCTCGTCCTGCGGTGTCCTATTCTGGGCGCGCGTTTGACGTTAACATGCCGATTGCCGCGCGTATTTTCGTCCATTTCGCGGAAAGCGACGATCGAATTACCGACGATGCACGCGAAAGAAATGTAACGCTTCTAAATGTGTACAATTCTAGCACAGCAGATTTGGTTATAACATGAGCGAGAATTCTCAACTAAACATTCATATTAGAGAGCTTTTATATTAATGAGTCCTTCAGTCGTTGTGTACTTGCTCGGTGATTGCTTGGCATCTCTGTGGCACAATTTTTACTAAGTTGCAGCACATTCTTTTGATAGCAATCTCATGTGAATCCGTTATGAATCCATCAAACTGTATTTTCTGTTCAAAAGGAAAAGATTGTGTCGTCCCAGTTGCGATTGATATTTTCTTGCGACCAAGAGTTTCTTCTTTCTGTTCTCTTCTCGGACAGAAAGCCGTTCAGATGGAAAGTCATTGAACCTCCTTGTCCGTTATTTTTCATTTCGTGCGTTTTGCTAGACCGTCAACGATTTTTCCTCTCTCTTCAAATCATTTCACTTATTTATTTACAAATATTTTCGTAAACTGAACGACATACGCACCGCTTACTGCGGCATTATTTTTAATCTTTTCGTGTGTATACAAAGGAACAGGATATCGAGCTGTTTTACATGGTGCTTATGATCGAAAGTCGATTCTCTTCACATAAAAATCAAGCAGTTTGAACTTTGTTTACAATGTGTCGTGGGAAAATGGCCACATGTCTGTCTTGAAACGATCCGTACCTAGCAAATGTTTTACCGGCTATATTCTTTTATTAGACAGCTGTACATCTTTCACCTTGTTACACGAACTCTTTATTTGTCACTAAGAAACACACTTAAAAAGAAGATGGTATATTTTTTTTTTATTTAGAGCGTTTTCAAAATTTTAAACGAGTACGAAAAACAAATATGTACGTGTACGCATGCGCGCGCGCGTTGATCTGCAGAATTAATGAAAATCAAAAATGAACATTCTGTCAAAATTTAAAATAAACCATATTAAATAAATTATTTATTATAGATTATTATTAAATAAATTATATTAATAATAATTTTACACCCGAAATGTTTGAGTTAAACGCTTCCTCAAGAGAGAAACAGGTTTTCAATATATCTGTTTACAATATTGAGGAGAACGTTAGGTCAGATTGGGGAATATGTTTACAACAAGTTTAGAATCTTTGTTTTGAAGAAAATATTACGAAAAATTTAACGATTCGATTGGCGATACAACTGACTTTATAGATGCAATCAATTGTATCCTAATAAGGCATGATAATTTTATTGTCATTAGCGGCAACGACCACGAGACATTCGATGTATCAAAATGTTGTTTGATTACAAATTTTATCTTTCTTGCACGAACGTCATGTGTAATGTTGTTTCAGCTCGAGAAGAGCAAGAAAACATATTCAATATTTATCACGTGCCTAAAACATGTTTGCTAGTTCTGGATGTCTTTCCTGCTTTCGCGCGTTTTTTACCATCAAGTGTCAAAGGCTTCCTCTCACTCCTGGCTCTCTTTTTCTCTCTCTCTCTCTCTCTCTTTCTCTTTCTTTCTTTCTTTCTGTTTCTCTTTCTCTTTCTCTTTCTCTCTCTCTTGTTTATTAATCATGCGATCGCTTTCGCGAGCAAACGTTGATCTCTGTTTTTCTGTTTTTCCTGTTTTTTCTCTCTCATTACCGATTACTTGTCGGAATAATCTCGCTTTTAATTACGCGTATTTTGCCCGGTCGCTCGCCGTTATCATCGCGATTGTTTACCTACATTCCGTCGCTGCTTTCGCGCCCCGTCGTGCTCGTTTCCCTAATATTACGAGCCAGCGAGCGCGCTTCTTCTCATTTCTGTCCGGTGACTCGTCGCGTCGCGCCGCGTAATCACAAAATAGAGTGCACGTCGCCGTCCGGCACGATAACGAAATTGATTTCTGCCCCCGGCGACGGAATCGTAAATTACACGCTCGCTTATAAATAGCTGGATTACACACGCGATAACGTGCTTGTTAGGCAATTATTTACATCGATCGCCGAATCATTTGTCTCGCGCTGTCAGCTGATTAGTAGGTGGCAGCGCGACGGCGACGGCGACGGCGGCAACGACAACGGCAACGTTGTTCTGCAACCAAGTGCTGATGCACCGAGTGGAGCACTTTATGTGTACTACTCTCTCGGGAGATGCCGATAGGCAGATGCCGAGAACGCGGGCATGATGTGTGAACATGGAACGGCAGTGGGAGAAGCAGGGCGAGTCGAGTGGACCTCTCGTCGCTTATCGTCTCTTCCCCGATAATCTCTCTGTCACTGTTCCCAAAGTTCACGGTTCTACACGAACCGGAGCTCTTCTCGTCAGGAGGAAAGTCAATCTCGAGTACTAACACGATTCGTTTATCATCATGCTTGTTGTGTAGGCCATTATGTCTGTGTGTATGTATGTTTCTTCTGCTTCCTTTTCTTCTTTTTCTTTTTCTTCACGCCACCCTTATGTCGCCCGCTTTCTCCCTGATGATTCCGCGATGTTATTTGTCTTTGTCTCTCTCTCTCTCTCTCGCTCTCTCGCTCTGTCGCTCTATCTTCGTCATTTCGCGCTTTGTCTGTCATTATTATCAAGTTACGCGATTTGTTTTCTCGAAAAAAAAGTCTTAATCGGTCGCTTGTTACACAAGTGTTTACCGAGTTGTATAGCTCCACATCTCAGATCTCTTGCTGCTTCTCGTATCAAGCGACCTGTTTTTTATTGTATCTCTCAAACTAATATTTTCGTGGATGGACCTCGTTTTAAAATCGAAACGATCTCCGTATGCGGTCGCAGAGATCAAGGAATCGCGATATACGTGTGCTGGTGTGCTCGTAAAATATGTATGTGTGTATGTGTGTGCACGCGCGCGTGTTTAATTGGTGTATATGTAATCGAAGATTAATCAGGAGGAGGGGCGGACCGAAGAATCCTAAAAGCCTTCCAGACGAAAAACAAACGATCAGAAAAGTTTCCAGTGAGATAAGAGGGAAGCGCATTCAAAAAATGTATTTTTCTATTTTTTTTTTTTTTTTTTTTTTTTTTAGTTTAAACGTATATTTCTCGTATAGGAATGTTCTTTGTCGCTTTCATATGTGCATTAAGTTTCTCGATAACTTGCAAACAATTCTCGTTGTTGCCCTGTCCTATCTTCGCCAAAGACACCTTGAGTGCTTCCTAGATGTTTACCTTGCAGTGTGTATATTAATTGATTTCTCCCGCATTTTATAATCTCTTTAAGAGCTGCGATCACTTTTACTGACATTCGGAGAGAAGTTCATTGGACGCTTCCAAAATGCTCCTTAAAGATTCGTGTTCGCTCTTCCTGAACACTCCAAATGGACCATAATCAGCTCCCAGCACGCGACAGGTTCAAGATTCAGGGTTCAAAGTTCAATATACTCATATCTATTACTAGACACAATAACCGTCATATAATTGTAGATTAGGTCATTCTGAACAGAAAAGTCCTTTATCATTTTGCAAATAAGTACGCAAATTTTTAAGTTATCAATTAAAAGAGCTTCTAAATGTGGTCATGTCCAATCATTAATAACTTAATAACTATTGCGATTTTTGCAAAATAGTACTTGACTTTTTTTCTGAGTTTGATCTGCTTAATCTTTACAATTTTTCGTTTCCAAAAGATCCCGGACATTATATATACGTACATATATAAACTTTTTTTTTATATTCCCTATATTTTAGTAAATATACAACACTTTATATGAATATATAGAAAATGTTGAAACCTCTTATTATAATATCTCAGGAAGAGAGAGAGAGAGAGAGAGAGAGAGAGAGAGAGAGAGAGAGAGAGAGAGAGAGAATGCATATTCAAAAAGAAATATTCCATATAAAAATTGTAATATTTTAAATGACTTATTGCATAATAAAAATAGTATGAGTAGTGTTTTCAAAATCACATGAAGATTAAAATTTTTAGATTTTAAAGTAATTTTTACGAAAACTTGACAACGTTCGAGGTCATATACAATTTTATTACATAATGCATCACCTAAAACCCTACAACTTTTGTATGGAACGTTTTTTACGAAAATATTTTTTCGAAATATTAAGAGGTTTCAATACTCTCTATATATCCGTGTAAAGCATTGCACTTACTAAACTATAGCAAATATAAGTGAAAATTTATAAACATTATGATGTATATATTTATAAACATTCTATTTCAGTTCCTCTTTCACCTCTCTCAGTTAGTTAGATCTTGTCTTTTAACACACTCTGTATAAGAAAGCAAAATATTTCGAAATCTGTAAAGTTTAAGCATCCAGTATATAAAATCCTTCAATAATTAAGAGAAGTCCCTTTTCTCGAAGCAGCGAGGGTTAATTGCATATTTGTACATTCATGCTCTCATCGCAAATTGCTGTTTGTTCACGTTCTCCGATTTCTTTTTTCCAGAGACGGAACGTACATATCAGTCCGAATGCCTTTCATGCCAAAAGATCCGTCGAAGGAGAATCTGAGATCGGAGATGGACTACACCGATGGCACGAAAAAACGTAAGGTCAATAGTATGAAAAAGAGACGGCACAGGGGAAAAGGTGGTCGCAAAGATGCCGGTGAATGCAAGGGAAAAGCTGCCGCGAAAAAGCGACATCATGGCGGGCACTACAGATGCCGGCATCGGTGTCTGGAGTGTCGCCGAACTGGCAAGGTGCTTCCAATGAGATGTCTCTCACGATATTACCTGTTCATATACTTCATTAACACCTTCATTGCTTGCACTATGTAATCACTTGTTTGTAGCGACCTGATTGAATCTACTCATTACCAGGATTGGGGAAGTTACCTTTTCACCTAAAATTTGTTAACCTTACTCGTTACCTATAAAAGAAAAAAATAGCTTCTCATTGTTATCCGTAAACTGAATATTAGAGATTGAGAATTGCGGACAAGAATTCGAGGAATCAACTCACTTTCTAAATTATTGTTTGAGGATTGTTCAGAAAATTAGTTAATTCGTCAAACTTTAACTCTGATTCGCAATTTGTAATCTTCAATACGTAGTTTGATACGAGCTGTACTTATTTGAAAAATTAATAATAGTGTTTATTTTATTGGAAGCTACATGGATATTGTAAAATAAATGCCCGTCAATATTTAGCAAGTTTCCGTGCACGTTATCAATTGAGAACGATCAAAGAACGAGCCAACTTTACAGCTGATATTCGTGCCTTAATCATTTTTCCCTTTTTCTATATTTCTATTGTCTCACTGAATTTTCAAGATCTCGTTTTGAGATTTGCTGTGCTGTCCGCTCCAAATGTATATATAAAGTAACGATAAAGGTAACGATTTTATAAATAATGTAATTGCCATTATTGTTACTATCTTCGCATTGAAAAACATCTGCGGTATTCGCGTTACTGTTACTGTTACTGACGCTATCGTGAAGTCCTTGCTGAGAAATAAGCAACTTGTAACAATAATGACATTATAACGTGTTATTTCCTACAAGCCTGCTTACGACATCATTTGCAAAACTCGCTGTGAAAAATACTGGTTGCGTTCAGAAAATAAAGCGCTCACCGAGCACTTAATAACTATTGGCCCTTACTGTTAGATCCTTACATTCAGACCGATAACGTTGACGAATTACTCAACCATTGCGTAACCGTTGTGTTTTCTGAACGCAGCCACTGTGACCACCGTGCAACATGTGTTGCGTGATGCTTTCTTTTTGACAGTTCGAACGCATCTTCGAGATAAACATCACGTATATCATTCGATAAATTAATGCGGCCTTCGGAAATGTAAAAACACGCCTGATAAGACATGTTTTTGTTTACTGCGTCGCGTGCAGTACCCCATTCCTTCCAGTGTTTGTTACATTTCGCTAACAAGACGCTTCTGCATCCACAAATGACCACGAACAAGTATTGCATTATTACGGTATTCATTAGTCTTATCCTTCTTATCCTCATCTTATCTTCTCCTCCTCCTCCTATCTTATCATTCTGTCTGTCCACATATTCATCAAAATCATCTTCAGACGATTTTAAGGTGTTATTCCGCCGATAAAATGGTCTTGTGAGATCCTAAAGATGCGCTTAGGACGATCTGAAGTAGGGTATCAAGCGTGTAAATTAATTCGGTGCTCCTTTTCACAACATTTTCACAGTTTATTTACAAAAAGTCGATTACAAGCTTAATCTTCATTATTTTCTACTACTTTGCTCCATCTATCGAGTGGCAGACGAATATCCTCGCGGTAGAACCTTGACACTTTTATGTCGATAAAGTCGATAAAATCCAGGCTTTTTCGGATTTCTTCCACTGTTTTGAAATGTACATCAGCCAAGTGATATTGAGATGACTGGAACAGGTAGTAATCCGACAAGACTAGGTCTGATGAATAAACTAGGTGAGGGAGAATTTCTAAGCCTCTGAAATATATCCTTGTGATATCCTTCGTTCCTTTTGCGGCATATGATTGAGCTGCGAAACGATTTTGTCTGGTTCCCCTCGCTAATATATAGTCTCTTGTTCCAACGCATTGCTCAACGGACGAGTCGCTGTTGGTGACGCTCTTCAATAACAATCTAGCCGCGATCCAGCAACTCATAGTGCATTTTTTATAACCCAGCAAATGCGCAGCTAAGTCTTTTTGCCATGAGTATTGGGTTTTGAGAATGATATCGACAATTAATCGACATCTACCCACGATCTGCTGCCTTCAGGATCTTCATATACCTATTTTTCATTACATCTAATAATCCTGTGCAAAAAACACTTCTTTTAGAACTTTCAGCAAGAACATGGCCGTGTTGAATGTTTGCATTTTATTTTCCGATCTGTTAACTGAACTCGCGTGAAATCTATCTTCTCTCTTGAATTTTTCCAGCTGATATAAACACATGGGAATGCATTGATGAGTCATTTCAAGTTGCAGTGTGAACTACTGTTGAGTTCGAGCAGAGTTTTCATTCAACAGCTGCTCGAGTTCCTCATCTTCAAACTGTTCTGATCGATCGGGATGTTCTCGATCTGAAAGACTCCAAATCTCCAGTCCGAAATCTCTGACACTTCTTATATGTTTCTTGGGTCACAATATCCTTGTCCAGGGCAGAACGAATCATTTTCCGCGACTTTAACACTTTTTTCATTGAAACACGGAAAGAATGCAGTACTTCAAATACTGCTTCTCAGACGTTATTGTGTTCACTATTTTTTTTGGGATTGTGTCTCGGCTGCTTTATCAGAGGATATGGCGCTTTATGAACATAAAAGTCCATACTTGCAAACCACAAAAGCATTGTAAGATATTTAATTTTAAAATGGAGTTAGTTAAAGCACCAAAAATACAATAGAAATTGACTAAGTTAATTTCTATATCCAATAAATTAATGATGTCAGTTCTTGGATAATTTGATAACTTGGGTAAATTCGGGTACTTAAAACTATTCGAGTTTTTCAGGTATTACTTAAGTATCATTTCTCAAATTATTTAAACACTCAACATGCTCGAATACCTGAATGTCTAGTTATTTATTTTTATATCCTGACTTCTTTTTAATCAAATTATTCTTTAAAATATGGTACATTAAAATAAATTTATTTTATAAAAATTTGTTTTACAAATTAAAGTCAATAACAAACAAATGCTTTGCAAAATGTTTATTGGAATCATATCAGATGAAAAGTAAAATGAATGATATAAAAATCAACGGAAAAAATTAAGAAGAATAGAATAAAAAAAGAATTTAATGAAATATCTGACAAAAAATATTCATTTTTCGTTGATCTTAATATTTTTATATATGGTTTGTCAAAAAGCATATATTTTTGCAAAGAAAAACATAATTCCATTAAAATAAGATTTTGGTTCCGAGTATCAAAATAGTACCAAATAATATCCGCGGGTTGGGATATTCGTATATTTCTATTTCCGAGTTATATTTATAATCGATTAGTTATATTGAACACCGATACTTGCCTTCAATTTCTTGCATGCTATCGGCTCGTTATTGCTACGCTGCGCAGTCTTGAATAACCACCGATTACCTTTGCATGTGCTGTCTTGTATGTATCTATTGATTAATAATGATTAATAATACCAACAACGATCAGAAATAACAGATATAATGCATGTGCATTTCTGTCGTTACAGGTTTCACGCGGCAATGTTAAGCCTCTAGATAACAAATTCGTGATGTCACTGGCGGTAGACAAGTCCACGTCGTTTTCTACCATATCGTAATGTGCTACAGAAAACAATGCAATTAACCATTGATCGTTCGTACGGAGGAGCTGAAGAGGGATTTGCAAGAAGTGACAGTGTTTTCTCTCTCCGATGCCAGTCCTCGATCATGTGACGATATGTGTTACCAACTGTGCCAACCGATTGCGATCTTCTTCAAATTGGACTTCGGCCCTAGAGGAATCCCTAATCGAAGTATCGAATGAAAATCGATTACCTCGAGGAACACGACATCGAAGATTTTGAGATTCACGGTGATCTTTCAACATCTTTCGCTCTCTGCCCAAAGAACGATTTTATCGGTGAAGAGAAAGAAAAACAATAAGTGAAGTTTTTCTCTCTCAATGGTGATTTTGCAAGGAGAGTTAGTCACGAATTATATATACGGATTAAAACTGCAACAGACTCGTGTCGTAATCCGACGAACGGATTGTGATCTCGTAGAGAAAGACTTTTGGAACAAGTGATATCGATGTAATCGCGTTTTCAGAGGAATAGCTCGGTTCGAATACCCGCCGGTAATCCTAGTTGTATCGCCGGCTGATGATCTCATTAGTATTAAAGTAAAAGCAATTTATATTGCACTCGTTAGATTTTAAGCGAGTTATACAAATAATATACATTGACGAACGCGTACTTTCCGGTCCGCCAATGGAATGGATCCAAAATGCGGAATAAGTAGCTTTTAGTGGCAAGAAACTAGGAGATTCAGGATCCGACGTAGTTATAGACAGAAGTTTTATCACACAGCACGTATTGACGTTTTAATATACATCTTGAGTTTTATTCACATTTTCAAATTTTCCGTTAACGTCTGTTAACATTAATGATAGCGAGCAATAAACATTTATACAAAGTAATCGATGCTTCCTTTATTTTATTGCACCCGCTTTTATTTTATATTGTCCGAATAGTAGAAAAAGAAAATACAGAGAAATATCGCTCGATAAATCTAAATCATTCAAGATGCCTTGAAATCATCCTGAATGTGTGTTTTTTCACGATACGATTACACTTTTTAGATTATTCTGGATATACTCGGGACAATTTTAGAATGTCTTGTGCTATTTAGGAATTAACAAGTGACAGAAGGAACATTTGAACTATGCTATAAATTATAATATTTATTTATATTTATTTATTTTCCTCCGATTGTTGGGATTATAATCTTCCTAAGAAATTTTAAATGGTCATTGTTCTCTTAACCATATAAGCACCATGTTTACCGTTTGACGAATTGTGACGTAGATACAAATGTAAACAATGCGATGTTAGACTTTGTCTATATTTATGCTTTGAAAAATCATACTGTGACAATTTTCAAAGGTGTTACATAGATGTGTAGGAAATGACAGGAAGAAAATGTTCTATTAAGAGGTTGAATTAGTTTTAGCCTCTAGCAATAGATAGCTTTAGTAACAAGTTAATAATGGTTAGTACGAATGTTGAAATCTGACTACACTGAAAGATTTTACATTTCTCTATGACATATGACAGTTTGCGCGCTATTGTTTACTGATAGTATTTATTGTGTATAAACGTCTAAAATGGATCGTATAAAATTGCATTTTCTATATTCATTACTTTTTTATTTGATTTAAAAAAATCAGCAACTGAAGCTCATGAAATGCTTGTCACAACTTGGTGATCAAGTTTCATCATATCCCAACTCTAAATTTTGGTTTCAACGATTCAAAAGTGGTAACTTCGATTTAAGTGGCAAAGAATGTACCGGTCAACCAAAAAAATTCAAAGATTCTGAATTGCAAGTATTATTGAATAAACACACCGCTCAAACGGAAAAATAATTGGCTGAATAATTCAACGTCGAAAAATCAACAACTTCTAAACGCCTACATGCCATGGGAAAAGTTCAAAAGGAAGGCAAATGTGTTCAACATGAATTGAGTAAAAGTGCTATTGCAAATTTTTTGAATATCGCCATGTCTTTGCTTGCCAGACATAAGAAAAGAATTTTGTGATGAATTGTAACTAGAGAGGAAAAGTTGATTTATTTTGATAATCCAAAGCGAAAAAAATTATAGATCATGGATTGATCCAGAACAATCATCAACATTGACACCAAAACGAAACATTCACAGTCACAAAGCAATGCTCTGTATTTGATAGGATATAGAAGGTATGGTGTACTCTAGGAGCTTCTAAAACCGAATGAATTACAGAGCGATACCAGCAATAATTGAACAAAGTAAATGATGAATTGATGCAAGAAAGGCCAGCGATAATGCTCGTCCATATATTGCTTCAACGGTGAAACTAACATTATTAGAGCTCGAATGGGAGATCCTTCCATACCCAGCGTACTCTTCAGACCTAGCACCAACTGATTACCATTTATTCCGATCAATGCAACACGCTTTGGCAGATACACTTTTCAATAATTACGAGGATGTGCAAAAATGGGTGTCTGACTGGATTGCTTCTATAGTCGTGGAATCGTTATGTTATCAGAAAGATGGGAAAAAGTCATGGCTAACGACGGAAAATATTTTGATTGATGTAAATTTAACTATTTCTTTAAAATAAAGATAAAAAAGATAAGACCAGATTTAATTCAACCTACATTTCACAATACATAAAAGAATAAATATAAAGCTTATTCTTCCTACGTAATGCATTTTATTTTTCATAAAATTAAGAGGGTATTCTAGTCTAGCGGATTCAAAAAATCGATTTTGTTTTTATATATTTTGCAACAATTTAATATAGAGAATATATCTACAAAACCATTTCACTCGATTCGCAATATTAACAGAATTATAGCACTATATAGGAAGTGGCATCCGGATACTGAAAAACTTTCATCATGATAAACCACCTCTTATCGCCGAAGTATTGGAGATCATCAAGCCTATTTATGAAGATTTGTCATCGGATACTTTGTTGCATTGGAAATCCAAAATAACAACGAATCGCTCAATTCTCTTATTTGAACTTTCGCTCCAAAGCATCTATATTCGGAAGCAAAAATTGCAACGACCAGAAATTATATTTAACGACGGATTTACGTCAGCTTTAAAAGTCTTGGACATGATGGAAGTGACCATTGGACAACAAGCGGAAATGCACGCGAACTCTCGATCTCACGGCTCGTTTAATTCGGTCGGAGTGGCGCTTGTCCGACTTCGCTTGAGAAGAAAGTGCACAACACAGGGAAGAGCTATCAGCTCTGCACGATTTTTACGAGCAAAAGGACGGTTCACTCTATGGTCCTGATTGATCGTAAGTAAAAGTGTCTCTGTGTAATCAGTACATAAAACTTTAAACACGTTTTTCTCAAAACCACTTTTTTCAAATTAATATCTCAAATATAATTTCCCATAATATCTCAAAAACTAGTTGAGCAATTGAGTCGTGCTTGTGCACACATCTTCAGCATATGTGTGACTATAGCCCCTACCACGATGAAATCGAAATTTTTTTTTTTTTATAGCCTTTTATAGCCTTTTATAGTTTTGTATTTTTTATAGCCTTCCAAAGGTGAAAAAATGATCAGGAATCGATACTCAATTTTCTACATAGCACCATTTTTTAGATTTTCACGATTTTTTTTTCATTCTGCTACCGTTATAGCGACACTCCTACTAATTAAGAATCTCTTTGGTTTTTTCGTTTCAGGTGAGCAGAACAGCCGAAATTGATGGGCGCCATCAAGCACCGTTTCTTTTTTCACGTTCTTTTAATATATCTTTTATATCATCTATTTGTAATTGTTTAGTCATATAAAAATTTGCAAACGTATTTCAAACATGTATAAACATATTGCAAAAAATCATTTCGCAATAACCCTTATATTTCTCCCCAAAAAAATCACTAATATAGCATAAAATCTCGACCGTTAAAGATAGAATACCCCTTTTAACCTCAATGCTCTTTGTAAGATATCCAAGAAAATTCGACGAGAAAAATTAAATATTGAGAAATAAGGTTTCGTTAGACAAGTTTGAATTATAGAAAGCCATTACAACATTAAAGAATTCTTTTTTATAAGTAAAATCCTAAAACAAATATATATATATATATTTGTCTCGACGATATCATTCCTATTGAAAATATCTTTGAACAATATTGCGACTTAATTTAATGCATGTATTCTTTAGTTTTTTCTTTAACCCAACAAAATTTGTCAGGTATTTATTACAATATTAACACGTGTTTCATGCTTATAGGAAAAGATTTTTGAATCAATCAAATAATCCCAAGTAAATTTGTATGCATATATTTGATAACTCTATCCCTGAGTCTCGCTGCGCGCTATACACTAATATTTAATTCTTTTAAGCTAGCTGCGAGCTCCCGATGACTGTCTTTGGCGTTTCGAAAATCCTAGCATCTTCCAGGCAAGTCACAATATTTTTTAAGAAAGTCGCACTGCCCGCTTGAAGTCGCGCGTCAACCTCCTTTAAGCCTGAACACATCAAAACAATTATAGCTTTGTTTGTTTAAACAGGAAGAAGCATGTACGTCTGTGTTGAGCTTTCAATGATATAGCTGATGGTGACAAATTATGTACATTATAATCAACTTTATCGTATCATTGAAAATTCAACATAAACTAACATCGTTAATTTAATTTTACATGCCTGAGCATCTTAGATATTTTGATAGTCAAGTTTTCAGTTACATTATCCGGGCACCCAGGTATTTTTCAAATTATTCGAAGAATTCGATTATTTCCCTGACAACACACGATCTCCTAGGAATGTCCTAAGAATATTTCTAGAACGTTAAGACGCTCTCAGACCAACCTCAGAACGTCCCCTGGATATCTGTGCTGACTAAATGTTTATTTTTTGTTGATCTTATCTTAAATAGTACGCGTATATGTGTATACGAATCGAAATAAATATATTTACATAAAAAACATGATTTTGTTAAAACATTTTCTTAATCCGATATACCTGGATAATAGCCACGAGTTTGGGCATTCGAATATAAAAATGCCGGATTATATTGGCCTTACATCTCCGTGTATCGCTTCCGTCGTGATAGTTACGTCACACTCTATAAAAATAAACACAAACTTCTCGAAAAACTTAATAACAAACTACGTTGGACAAACGTCCAAGTTAGAATTATTGTTTGAAGTGTATCATATCTAAAATACAAAGAGACATGTTGTCAGCCACGTTCAAATGCGAATCGTGGATAAACATAATGTGATGGAGCACATGTTTATAAGAGCTGATGTTTATAAGAGCTAATTTACGCAGGAGCGTAAATAGTTCAGTAAATTCTGTTGTGCCGCGACGTGTTTGCTTTGTACGTACATATCGCTATGTTTAAAATTTTCTTCAGTAGTAATATTTCTTCCATATTTCTTTGCTCATTTATTTATTGTTTAACCATCCATTTTGTTATAGCATTGTAAAAAAACATTTCTTGGTCCTTTGCATCATCTAAGTGGAAAAGCCACACGATAAAGGTATCAAAAGATTTTGCTATATATCATACAATGTTATTCTATTGGATAGATGTTGTTATCTGCTAAAGCATATTGTTGGAAAATTGATCAAAAAGACTGTGCTTAACATTCGCTTTTTGTTATTATAGCCACCCGTTGGCAATAAAATCGGGTTTCGAGATTCCGCGTTGCAGTCTCCTTTGCAGAATATTGTTGTTGTAAGAGAACATATAAATAGATAACTAAGATTTCTTTTGTTTCCTTTGTGAGATGGCCTCTCATATTTTCTCGAACATCTCGCGAGTTCGAATCGTCGTGGTGGGGCTTCGTGAATTCGAGTAGGGACATCGCGAGATATTGCAACGCGATTTTCGATGCTCGTCTATCGTCATCGATTATTTAATTATTAAAACAACAATTTAATTGTGTTTTGAATAGAGTAACACATTGCGATACATTTCAATTAGCAATATATTATAAAGATTGAATAATAGTCAATGTTCCGTGAAAGGTCACGCGGAAGCCAGACCAATGTTTAATCAATATCCGTTACACTTGCATTACAAATATCCTGCTAAATATTTACCTTTAAGAAGTGGTATAGGCGAAAATGCTGCCTGGTCGGTAAAAAGAATTTGATATACGATGTCGTGATCAGCCCGCCGAGTTGAAAGATCATACAGCTTGTAATATGACAGCGCCACAAAATACAAATCTAAACGTATCTTGATGAACAAAACGAAATTCTTATTTTCACAGATGAAACTCGCACTGATATTGATGGCCCTCGTGGCCTCAAGCAAGACAGAAAGTACGAATTTTGGCCGAAGCACGAGAGTGGAGAACCCCTTTGTCATCCTAGACAACATCGTGGATTTCTTCGACGAAATGAAGGGGATGGTTGAAAAACATTGGAGCTCTATTTCAAAACAGAGCTTGAAACTGTTTATAGAATTGTACATGAAATTGAGAGATTTCGTGGCTTACCTCGAAACAAAGCAAGACGTTTACCGTGTGATACGATTTTTCTCTTATTTCGGTATAGACTTTTACAAAGTAATAAATATTGCGCACAACTTTCTCGGACTCCCTCCATTCGTCCTAGCCGAGGAAATATTTTTTGGCGAGGACATCCCAGCCGGGAACATTATAACCTTTCATGATTAGATAGCGTATAATAATTAGAAGAAAGCCTAAAATTAGAGTGAATTCATTGAGGAAGTCATGGAAATTTTACCCTTATCAAACTCCTGATCTTCTACAGCTCGATATTAACGGAATCCAAGGCTTTCTCCGATTTCATAAAACAAATCAAATCCGACAATTTCCAACAGATCTTCAAGGCCTATAATCCTAATATCCGGAAAATCTTAATGTAATATGGTGTTAATCTTGAGCACATCAAGAACGTATTAAAGTATATCTTCAGCAATAATTCAGCAATAATTCAGGGTTCCCGACCGCCACTTAATAAAAACCGACACCGTCGTGAAACATAAGATTCCTTATTGCCAGACACATCAATGATATTTTTATTCAAAAATACACCTCGTATGTGTCTCGTAGACATTATATTCGGTTATGTAATTCTGTACTTCAAAATAGATTAAAGTAATAAATATCAATCTCACTGCTATATACACACGCATACTGCGGCATATTTTTTCTCCTTCCATCGGACTTCCTTTCCTTTGTTCTATGTTATATTTAAAAGAAATATTAATACGAAAATTTAGACGTCAATCGCTAATAGATTATTTTCAAGTTTTATTTCGTGGAATTATAGTTATAATATTCTATTCTTTGTTTATTGCCCGTCACGCTATATTTGTAGATAATATCGCAAATTGTATAGATAATAAATAAGTACTAAAACAAATATATCCATGATATATAATATTGAGATGTTTCAAACGCGAGTTTATACAATGATGTAAAATATATCAGAAAAGTATGTGAATGTTATTTCATTTTTCTAGTGCATCTAATCATTGCATCTAATATTTTATATTTATTCATAAATGCTCTGGAATATTTGTAAGTAATATAAGCAAAAGGCATACGACTTTGTGTTGCGCACTTCTATAAAATAAGGTTTCAAGGTCTGACTTTGATTACTTGCTGTTTGAATTATTTGTATTCATCTACATATTCTATACAGCACGGACAGTTACAGCAACATTGCTGCAACGTTGCAGCAAAGTTGAAGCGATGCAGCAATGAGTCTGTTCTTTATAGCTGCGCTACTGAACTAGTGCAATAAGTTAGAATGAGAAAAAATATAGTTGTCTCATTTTAACTTATTGCACTAGTTCAGCAGTGCAGCTATAAAGAACAGACCTAATATTGCTGCAACTGCCCGTGCAGTATGAGATAATACACAGTGTGGCTAAAAAGTTTAAGACTAAGCTCATAAACAACACGGAAAGTATAGTAAAAAAAATTTGTATTACTAATTATTCTATACATAATCCTTGTAAAGCTATACATTGTACGACACGCCCGGCTAGTCTTTTTAGAGCATGCTGGAAATCCGTTGCTGGAATGCTTCGTAGATCTCTCGTTGCGTTATCTCTTGGATCGTCTTGATATCGTCGAATCGCTGTCCTCCTACCTTCAATTTCAGTTTTCTTTGAAAACAAAAAATAATCCGCCGATGCCGAATAATCGGCGAGTACTGTGTATAGTGTATCAGAGTAATAGCTTTTTGCTAAAACCTGCAGGAACCAATTTTCATTTACATGCAAATCCGGACGCACACGCGCGATGTATTTCAGTAGCCGATCCGGACAATTTCTTTATCGATGTTTAATTGTTTCACGAGCAGTCTGATCGTTAACTGACGATCGTCTTCCAACGCACCGCGAGCAGCTTCGATATTCGTATCAGTCCGGCTGATACGCGGACGCTCCGTTCTTCCGTCATCCTGAATGCCTTCTATCTTTATCGTCTTGAAATTTACCAAATCACAAAAGTACATTCGACCGAAACAAACACTCCTCACCGTAGGCGTTCTGCATCATTTGATAAGTTTCGACAGCAATTTTACCATTTTTTAAACAAAAGGTGATCGCACATCTCTGTTCCAAATACAATTCCATGACAACCGCAAATAACAAACGACACGCAAAACGTTGGCAAAATCTTGGCGAGAATTCAACGGAAATTGATGCAACTTGGCAACTGTATGCAGAAGGCTTTGGACTATATACTTTCGTTTGTCGCATACAAATAACGCCACTTATACGCCACTTATTACGTTTCTATTACATCAATCTTAAAACGTTTTCAGTCACACTGTGTATGTATATATCATAAAAGAATATGTATGTATGTATGTGTATTGCAAATTTCGCAAAACGGTATGGGACTTTTATATTTGTCTTAACCTAATCTACCTTCATACTTCAGATTGGCAGCTAATTACCGGACACCCTGTATATAGCATAATATAATCAGCTGTGATATTCTACTGCTTAAAAATTTACTTTAATCGAGTGAAACCAATATCTTATATATTTTGTCGACTATATATTTTCCCTTTTTTTTTATGGTAGTCCTAACAACTTCTCAATTTTGCAAAGTCATAAAGTCACTTCCGTGGTGAACTCATTATGCATTTTGAAACAGCGTTAATGCTGATTTAATCTTACTTTAAGGAGATATAAGTTTTAAACCATATAAGCGTTAGGTAACGTTATTTCCATCTTTAAGACATTTCCGTGCAATACCTATAAGTTTTAGCCATTAGATGTAAGTTGTTTAAAACTCCAATTTTCTTTATCCTGATTAGATCGTTAAATATTGTTTATCTATATAAAAATTAATGAATTTTGATCCTGTGCCGTTAGATATTCGACTGTTGATATACATTTTCCTTACCCAATTAGCAGACAATATTTATTTAACGTTTTTCAAATATTTATTTTATACTTTTTTACATTTCTTCCATTTATTGTACAAAAAGTATTTATTTAACGTTTATTTAATGTATATTTTACATTAATTCTTCATTCAGAATGACGTTTTAAAAAAATATTTATTTAACGTTTATATGTAACGTTTATTTAATATTTATTAATAACTTGTTTAAAATTATTTTAAAACATTTTAAAAACATTTTTAAAATGTTTTTTAAATGCTTTTTGATATTTTTAAAAACATTTTTTAAATATGTTTTTCTGATTGGGTAGCAGAAAGTCATAAGGCGCGAAACGATAGCATTCATTAAACGCACACTTCTTTATCGATATTCTCATTTCGATCAGTAGATGTGGAAAAGTGGCGACATCGTTGTTTGGAACGGTCACCTCTTGATATCGCGTTTGACACGTAGACACGTACAACGTTTCTTCTTGCGTCTACATGTATCTAAATGTCTGTGAATTTTGACAAGCCGCTTATTTTCGGGCGTTTTTCTTAACACTAGGTACGTGCTGAATTCATGGATAGCGAATGGCTCGTATACGTGAAATTCGTCGATGGTATTATAAACGTATATAATATGTTGGGTTTCATAACCTCGCACATTTTTCGCTTAACTTTACTTCGCGAATTTGATGTAGAAAAGCTGATGTAATCGTCGATAATGCATATTTGGTAATACGTCGTTGATAATATTGTCATTCTCACGCTCAACAACATGTTTTGCGACATGGTTATACTTACCTATGATACGATACTATTGTGCTTCTGACATTTCCATAGGTCCTGAGTTGATTGCTTTTCTGTAACGACTTTGAGAAGAGCCGAAAAAATGAGCACAATGACTGAACAGCCGTGTTATACTTTGATAAACATTGCAACCGACACGGAACCCTTGAACGAGCTCCAATTAAAGCAGGATCTTGAAAAGGGTGATGTTCCGACAAAGATCGAAGCTCTGAAGAAGACAATTTACATGATCTTGGGTGGTGAGAGATTACCTGGACTGTTGATGACAATTATCAGGTTCGTTTTGCCTCATCAAGATCATACCATCAAAAAACTGCTGTTGATATTTTGGGAGATTGTGCCAAAGACATCTGCCGATGGCAAGCTTCTGCAGGAGATGATTTTGGTTTGCGATGCATACAGAAAGGATTTGCAGCATCCAAATGAGTTTGTCAGAGGATCCACTCTCAGGTATAGACACAAATACAGAAATATATACATATATATATATATATATATATATAACTATAACGAATGGTAATGCAGTACCATAAATGATTTATAATTTTCATCATAGATTCTTATGCAAATTGAAGGAACCAGAACTTTTGGAGCCATTGATGCCGGCAATAACAGCATGTTTAGAGCACAGACACTCTTATGTTAGGCGTAATGCGGTACTTGCTATCTTCACCATTTACAGAAATTTTGAATTTCTTATACCTGATGCTCCAGAATTGATAGCTAAATATCTGGAAGGAGAACAAGATATGTCGTGCAGAAGAAACGCATTTCTGATGCTACTGCATGCTGATCAAAGTAGAGCACTTGCTTACTTGGCAGCATGTCTCGATCAAGTACCCAGTTTCGGTGATATTTTACAGTTGGTTATTGTTGAATTGATATACAAGGTATGAAATAGATATAATTACAGTAGGCTAGGGATGGGTGATTCTAGGAAAAAAATAGATTTTTATATCAATTTTATGTGTAACAAAATTTTATGTGTAACAAAATAATTTAGTTAAAAATTACAACAAAAGTTTTCTAAATATTGATTTGGAAAAATCGCATACATGATGACAAATTTAAATATATTTGTTATATCACCTTAAGTCTAATATATACAAAAAATTTTATGTTTTAATTATAACTTTTACTTTCAAAGTAGATTTATTATAATTTTGATTTATAAAATTAGAAAATTACTTCTAATATATCTAACATTTTTTTTTGTTTATATGTGCATATGAATTCTTTATCCAAAATAGCCACATCTAACAAGTTTTTCATATGGCAAATAAAATATCAGCCTTCAGAGCTAATGAAATAATCAGGATTTTGATCGACTAAATGACCCTCGGTAGAAATTCTAATTACTTTCGCTCTCGGTTAAATTTACCATTATTTCTAGAGTCTTTTAAAATACCATTACTTTAGTTTGTTAAAAATCTAAAGCAACATCCAGATTGTATTAAATGTCGATTGCAGTATGATGAATTCTTTATTAAATACAACACTTATAAATAAGCATATGAACAAATAAACTGATTTTCTATTGAAACAATTAATTCGTATCGGACAGAGAGAAATCGATATAAAAACATTGATTTCTGTTAAGAAAAACCGATTATCTTAAAAATTAGAATGAAATCGCCCATCCCGAATAAAGTTGATTCAAAAGTATTTTCCCATAAACAGTGAACAAATATCGAGTTATAAGCAAAACTTTTTTTTTTATTTATAATAGAAATATATCGATAAATGAAATATGCATTCTATGGAAAAAAAACTTCCGAGTCAATTTAACAGTTCTTGTAAAATACTTCATTAAGCAGATACAGATGATACAGCAATAAACTATCTTCTAGGTTTGCCTCGCAAATCCGTCAGAAAGGGCGCGTTTCATCAGATGTATCTACAGTCTGCTGAATTCACCCAGTGCTGCAGTGCGTTACGAAGCAGCAGGCACGCTAGTAACTCTTTCCAGCGCGCCAACCGCAATCAAAGCCGCGGCTTCTTGCTATATTGAGCTGGTGGTCAAAGAAAGTGACAACAATGTTAAACTCATCGTACTTGACCGACTAATCGCGATGAAAGACAGTCCTGCTTACGAAAGGGTGCTGCAAGATCTCGTGATGGATGTACTTCGCGTTTTAGGTGAAGCATTAACAAATATGACAAGAAATCTTGTTACAACTTCTATACAATTTGTCTACTATCGTATTCTTTTATTACTATTATTGTTCTTTACGTAAAACAGGATCACCAGCCTTGGAAGTCAGAACAAAAACCTTGGCTTTAGCCATGGATCTGGTGACAACTCGCACGATTGAGGAGATGGTACAGCTCTTGAAGAAGGAGGTTCTCAGGACAGCCGGCGGGGAACACGAAGACGCCGGCAGATATCGTCAGCTCTTGGTGCGAACCCTTCACGCTTGTTCCATGAAGTTCTCAGATGTTGCTGCCACTGTTATCCCAGTGCTGACAGATTTCCTCTCGGAGAGTAACGAAGCTGCCGCTACAGACGTTCTCGTGTTTGTTCGCGAGGCGATTCAGAGATTCGAAAACCTCAGACCACTGATTGTCGAGAAACTTCTAGAGGTTTGCGTTTATGACAATGCTCCATTGTGAATCACATTAATTCATATCACAATGCAATTAAGTATTAATTTTGTGAATTTCGATGAATCTCAGGTGTTCTCTCACATACGTTCCGTGAAGGTGCACAGAGCTGCACTTTGGATTCTCGGCGAGTATGCTACGTCTAAAGAAGATATAGAGGCTGTAATGGGTCGTGTACGCTCTGCTTTAGGCGAATTGCCGTTACTCGAGGCGGAGAACAAGCGTCAAGCCGGCGAGAAGTCCACCGAGGATAACTCGCAAGCAGCGCCCGCGCAGTTGGTTACGTCTGACGGAACGTACGCTACTCAGAGTGCTTTCAGCGCTACATCCGCACGTGAGCAACTCTTCATGTTATTCCTAACGAACCACCTTTTATTTGTAGCTCACATGATTAATGGGCCTTGATCCTCCCTTACCAAAAATATCTGTAACTCTAGGAACTATTATATTGAAAATATTTTATCTTTTATATTAATTCGAATGTCGATCTGTAGGGAAGAAGGAAGAGAAGCGACCAGCATTGGTACAGTATATGATGGAGGGTGACTTCTTTATCGGCGCGTCTTTGGCCACTACTCTGGCGAAATTGGCTCTCCGTTACAAAACGCTAGAGAATAATATTCAAAAGAGTAACCGACTGCAGGCGGAAGCGATGTTCGTGATGTCCAGCGTGTTGCAGCTGGGCCGTTCAGGTCTTCCTATAAAAGCGATGACGCACGACGACGCAGAAAGGATTTCCTTATGCCTTAGATCTCTCGCCTGCCCAACACCTCTCGTACAAAAGGTCTTCACAGAAGGATGCCGCGACGCTCTTAGCAGAATGTTGGCGGCGAAAGCAGAGGAAGATTCACAAAATCAAAAGGTGATAATAGATTATCCTAGATCGCCAAACTTATAGAAACATATTTTACACAGTGTCTACTTTTAAATTTTTGTTGACATTTTATTAATAGAAGTCTGACAGAATCTGCTAACAAATTGAGAACAAAAATCGAACAGAAAACGACTTATCATTCCATAGCTATTTGAATTAAAATTATGTTCGAATTTAAATTTAAATTATGCTTTCCTATTTATATTTAAATGGTGATTTAACTCCTAAAGGACAGAGTATTTTGGCAAAATTTTCCTAAAATTTGTTTACGAGGTTGATCACGAATCTGAGGTCAGAATTTTATGACTTAAAATGGTGGTTCAAAATAGTAATTTTCATTATTCTTTAGACAATTTACATTAAATTATGTATACATATATAAAATCGCTAATCACGAATCAGAATTACAAAATTGAGGATAATATATCGGATGTGGCCATTGAAAACATAAGATAAACTACTATTTGCTAATTCTAGAATCAACGTTGACGTAACAACAGCTGATTCCATTTCATTTTATTCTTCTTTTGTTTTTGTAGTTAATTTCTTTATTTTTTTTATTTTTTTATCGATAATGAGTATATTAATTGCCATATTAAAAATTTTGTCATGTTGGGTCTGCCAGTTTAAATTTTACAATTCTTATCTTAAATTCGTGATTAGAGATTCCAAAATATGTGTACTCTAATTTTTGTTGGTTCTTTCCTACATTAGCTTATAAAAAGTTGCGATATCGAATCCGCTATTTTGAATTTTTTAATTCGTTTTTTATAATCAACGACTCTGAAAACTTTTCAAACAAGAGTTTTTAATCTGATCCGATTGGTAATTCTTCAGGTGAAAAGGAGTGCTATCATATAGTTCCATTTGTCCTTGAAGAATTAAGGTTTCCGATTGAAACCTAAAGATGTCATGTTGGATAATGACATCAGAGGCGAGAAATGACACGTTGAAAAATCTTGCGTGTCATTTCCAAATAAAAAGATATTTCTAAGAAAGAATATTTCGGATATGCTGGAGCATATTTGTAAAATGCTCTGAGTATTATGTTTTTCCCTTGATAATCAATCAACAACCAGAAAATGACTGCAATATGAGGCCTAGTCATGCTCATACACAATCATTCTATACAACCAACCTCATATTATAGTCATTTTATGGCTATTGATTGACCTCTAAAAAAGAAGCTTAATATTCGAGGCACTTTACGTGTTCTCATAATTGGACGTTCTTTTTCATGCAGATATTTTTTTATTTAGAAATAGCATGCAAAAATTTTAGACATGCGTTTGTACTCGCTTCTGACGTCATCAATCAAGAGTTCTGAAGAGAAGGATTAAGAGATTTAATAAAACATATCTCAGATCCTGTTTGCGCTTCTTCTATCGTCAATCTGCTGTCAAATTGTGTCAACAGGCTCTGTCGACAAAACATGGACTTAATATAGTCATGAATAACTATGGATATGCTATAACATTCTGATCAAATTTTCTATAAATCTGTCAGCATATTACGCACATTTTGCTTATCAATCTTCATCAGGATAAAATGATTTTACAACACAAATGAACAGGAGAGCCTCAGAGGCTCTCAATACAGAATAACTAAAATTAATAATTCTAAAATATTTTACTTCTTTTAATTCGCCTTATTAGTAAAATTATAACTTTAATATATACGATAGACTATTTATATTATTACATTCATTACATTTGATTTTTAATAAAAGAACCTCAGAGGCTCTTCTATCCAGATGAAGATTAATATTAATCCTTAAAAAAATATTAAAAGGAAAATGCCGATTGAAAATATCTCTACGTATTATTAGTTGCATTTAACTGATATTTCTCGTTTTTCTTAGGCTAAGGAGAAGCCAGGCAATATCGTGCAAGTCGACGACGCGATACAGTTCTTGCAACTGAGCCGCGGCTCTGATTTGGCCGGTGGTGCCGGCGATGTGTTCGAACAGAGTCTCAGCGCGGCTGTGGCTGGTCGACCTGGCGCTACCGGAGATGCTCCAGCTCCGAGCGCTTTGAGCAAGGTGACCCAGCTCACCGGCTTCTCAGACCCAGTGTACGCGGAAGCGCTGGTGCACGTGAATCAGTATGACATCGTGCTTGACGTTCTGATAGTTAATCAAACCGAGGACACTTTGCAAAATTGCACTTTAGAATTGGCCACTATGGGCGACTTGAAGCTGGTGGAGAGACCGCAGCCCATCGTGCTCGCGCCGAGGGACTTCGCCACCATCAAGGCGAACGTGAAAGTCGCGTCCACAGAGAACGGCATTATATTTGGGAATATCGGTAAACTATTATATAGTATACGCACGCATCGCAAAGTGCCGGAAACGAAGCGAAGCTGTCACTCGTTTATTTCTGTTCACAGTTTATGACGTGTCGGGTGCAGGCTCCGACAGAAGCGTAGTCGTTCTCAATGATATACACATCGACATTATGGACTACATAGTGCCCGCGACGTGCACTGACGCGGAATTTCGTCAGATGTGGGCAGAATTTGAATGGGAGAACAAAGTTTCGGTTTACACAACATTATCCGACCTGAGAGAGTACCTCGCGCACTTGTTGAAGTCTACGAATATGCGTTGCCTCACGCCGGAGAAGGCATGTCCATTTTCCTATCTTTGTATAGTCAGGATAACGTCACCGATGTTACAATAATACCTTTCTTACAGGCTCTGTCGGGACAATGCGGATTTATGGCAGCGAATATGTATGCCAAGTCGATTTTCGGCGAGGATGCTTTGGCGAATCTGTCTATTGAAAAACCGCTGAACAAGCCGGACGCTCCAGTGGTCGGTCATATTCGCATCAGAGCCAAGAGCCAAGGTATGGCACTGTCGCTGGGCGACAAGATCAATTCGGCACAGAAAGGTCCGCAGAATAAAGTAGTGCAAGCCGCCTGAGTCATGTCATCTTGATCAAAGCGCACCCTGCACAATATCCAAATTACTCGAGGCACGATTGACACCCTCGCGGGATTTACGATACTTCGGAGGCAATTACTAAAAGGATTTCATACGTCAGTGTCATTTGAGCTACGCGATCTAGACAACGTAGACGTCCTAATCCTCGGGGAATCTATGTATTATTTGGCAGTCGAACTGTTATACCGTATTTGCTCGTATCACAATGATGAAAGACGTGTTTATTATAATTTATGTCATGTTTAATTACATACTACACATTTTCGCTCCTCCTCTTTCCCGATGACGCTATTCTCATAATCACACAATCGATACACTGTAAGGTAAGGTACGCTACATCGGTAGAGTACGATGCATCTGTAGACGAGGAAATAAATATATACGATTCTTTGTCTATATAAGCCTCGTTCGTTTCTTTTTAGGTATGATTACATTAGAACGCAGTGTCTTTGTATCGTTCTGAATAAAATAGTTTCCAACTGGATCAAATGCTTTAATTGCTTGTATCGCCTCCTTTGTATCGTTAGAAATCGCTCTATGTTTTACATGCATAAATTAAGGTTTCTATCTCCTAAAAATTTATACAATTTCCTTGTTTCTGACATTATAAATTAAGATGGTCGCGACGAGGGAAACGAAGTGCTTCAACGCAAAAGAACATTGTCATATGGCAGCATGGCACTCCAAACATTCCTACAATTTGTCAATACGCAACATCCAAGTATTATATAAGTAGTATGTAATGAAAACAAAACAAAACGGCAAACTCTCCTTTTTAAATGTCTTGATTATAAGAGAATTAAACGGTTTCTTAAACTATCAAGTCTAGAAAGAACTCATACATATCAACTATTACCTTCATAGTATATCATATTAATACCTATCCCAAAATTCATCAGTCTTTGACTCCCTACTACGCAGAGTCTTTACTATTTGCGACCGGGACAGTATCTAAAGCAAAATTAAAAAGATTAAAGTACATACTTTAACAAAACTGATATACAAAATGATAGATGGACAAGCCAACTAAAAAATACCAAACTAGAGTAACATTTGAGAAACAAACCATCGGAGAAAAAAAACTCAAAAACATTAACCGTCATTTTTTCTGTATATATAAAGTAACAGATGAAATCGGCAAGATCTTAATGAAACATAATATAAAAGTCATATATAAATCCTCAAGAAAAATAGAGCACAGTTTCTAATAATATAAAACATAAGATATCTCCACTAAATACATCAGGTGTTTATAAAATAGTAAAGAGTCTATCTCCTTAATTTTAAAATCAACACCTATTTCCCTCAGAAATGCAGAGAATCCTTTTAGAAACTCCTCAACAATTTACGAACACTTCAATAATAGAAGAGGCGGCATGAAGGCAACGTGGCAACTTATACTCTCTTTCTCTTTCTCTCTCTCTCTCTCGGAGTTCTAAAAAATTACAATATACATTTCATTTCCTTTTTCATCCCATTCCTCTCCCTTTCACCAATTAATCATCCAACAAGTACTTAATTACTCTTGGAAACGCATATACAAAAGAAAAAACTCGGGAGATTAGCAAGTTCTTCTCTCTGATGAAGTGAATTGGAACATTCACGAAACGTTAAAAATAAACCTAAGATGAACACGGCACTAGTCTGTGTATGCAATATACACAACAAATCATATTTCATGAATATGATTCAGGTTTAAGTGTATACATATACACATATTTGAAAGTAAATTCGAACAATTGAATGTAAACGCTCAATATTTGAGTGTTTTTTTCCATGAAAATTAATTTTATATTAGTTAATCTAATATTAGATTTTAAATGTTATCGTTGAAATGTTGTCTTTATTGTTAATATTGTTTTTCAAGAAACACCGTGCGAATCACAATATCTTGGAACAGTTATAGCAAAGCAAAACAGATCTATAAAATCATGACTTTGTCAAAACATTAGCGCAAAAACTTATAAAATTCCATACCACGATAAATTTATTATTTTGTTAGTACAATTGTACCTACTCGAAAACTATATGTGTAATAAATTTACTTTGATCACATTTTGTTCCGCGAAAGTTAATCATACAGGGTGTCCCATTTTAAAGGACCCACTTAAATATCTCAGAAACATTGCGTTAAATCGAAAAATGCTTATAGTGCATTACCACGTTAAGTATCTACACTTTTTTGTACTAGGATCTTAGGATCTTCAAGCAGCTGAGAAGCCAATCGTCTGAATTTGTTCATAATAACGCGATACGTGCAATATCTATACGCAATTCAATTAACTATAATGTCGTCGGTCATGTCAATGCTAAATCCTGTGGTAAAAAGTTTTAACACGAATTCGTATATACCATGTACATGATTATACAGGGTGTCCCATTTTAAAAAACGAACCTCGATAATTTTTCAACGAAGCATTTTCCGCAAAAATATTTCGGATAAAAGTTGTATGATTTTAAGGGGGATATAAAACAACTATATTATTTTGTTTACAAATGCCACCATTTTTTAGATATTCACTGATCATTACTTTTCTTAAATGGAAACTTCAATTTTTTATTACACCGTCTTTTTCTACCAATTAACTTTTGTCTGAAATATTTTTTTATTTGCCTAATATTTTTTGATATATTTAATATTTTTTGAGATATTTAAGGAAAACTTGATAACTTTTTCAATATTTAACTCACGATATCTCGCTATTTGTCAGAAGAAAAAATGGTACTAGACTTTTTTGCTCTATTTAATCTCAAGAATATATTGTTACAATAGCGCTCTGACTTTTGTTAACTTACTGACTTTTGGAAATTTCAAAATTATTAAATTAACAAAAGTCAGGGCACTATTGTAAAAGTATATTCTTGAGACTAAATAAAGCAAGAAAGTCTAGTACCACTTTTTCTTCCGACAAATATTTAACGAGATATCGTAAGGTAAATATTGAAGAAGTTATCAAGTTTTTCTCAAATATCTCAAAAAATATTAGGCAAATAAAAAAATATTTTAGACAAAAGTTATTCAAATTAATTGGTAAAAAAAACAATGTAATAAAAAATAGAGGTTCTCATTTAAAAAACGCAAGTTAACTTTCAAATGACCTTCAAGTTCGAGGTCAAGATCAAATTTGAGGTCACAAAAAAAACAGAACTTCATGAACCCTAAAACTTTTGTGTGGGTCATTTTTCTCTATAATACATAGATTCTGAGATAGGAGGGGGTCCGTTACTTTTGGAAAACTTGGTACATAATTTTACACAATTATGTACAGGATATCCCATGTAAAACGTGACAACCCAGAAACCCAGAAGTATTTATCGTATCAAAATTATTCGTGACAAAGTTTCATGTATTCGAGAGGCCTTTCTAACTGTGTAAACAAAAGTCCGCCCCTACTCCTTTCTGAAGAAGGTTGAATACGGAGAGATAATTTTATAATTTTGTAACGGGGGCCAAGTATCAACCTGCCCCCGTTACTACCGTGACTGCCGACGACCAGCAGTCGGAGTACGGGTAACAACCGCCGCGAGCCCCCCTTAATAGCACCGTGCCGTGGCAACCCGGCATACAGCCGAAAAAGACCGGCCGATTTCAGCGAAACGCTCGGAAAATCCCCCCAAAAGGAGTAATCCACGCAAACGCATGCGCCAATTTCCGAGAAATCGGGGGAACCATCCCCCCGATTACCGGCCGATTACCGCCGGAGGAAAAGATAAGGGTATATAACCCGCTCTCTCAACGAGATCGACACAGAAGGCTACAGAGCAGAGCTCAACCGAGGTAACAGCAGTAGCAACCAAGGAATCAGAGAAGCACCCGAAGATCAGTAATCGCAAGGAAGAAGGCGAGTGAGCGCGGCCTAGGTCGGTGAGTAAAATTTCCAAAGTACCGTACCGAACCACCGGGAAAATTCACAAGATCCGGCAGCCGAGTCCAGTCAACCGACCGTCTCCGCGAAACTTTTTAAGTGTTCGTCCGTCTGTATCGGCAGCAGTTAACCACCAGCACAGAATATTACTAAGTATCTGTTCGCGGATTTATACGTGCTTGTCCTTCTGTGTCGGCAGCAGTTAGCCATCGGCACAGAATATTTCTAAGTACCTGTTCGCGGATTTATACGTGCTCGTCCTTCTGTGTCGGCAGCAGTTAGCCACCGGTCCAGAATATTTCTAAGTATCTGCTCGCGGATTTATACGTGCTCGCCCGTCTGTGTCGGCAGTAGTTAGCCACCGGCACAGAATATTTCTAAGTATCTGTTCGCGGATTTATATATGTTCGTCCACCTGCGAACGGCAGCAGTTAGCCACCGTCACAGATTAGTATAAGTTTCTGTTGCGTGAGCCGGTAGCAGACTTGCAAACTTGAAAGTGCTAGTCCCCCCACGACGGCAGCAGTTAGCCACCGTCGCTAACGCATTTTCCGTGTTATCCCGTTTCTTATTCTTACAGCCAGCTATCACCGGGACTTCGTGCCGAAATCGTGACACATGAGCCGCCGTAATCATCCTGACGGTAACGGCCTGGGCACACGTTGTTTGTGAAGCCTCACAATATTTATCCGCGTGTTTGCATGACCACCGGTTATTTAGAGCGATTACCTGTTCGGCAGATTGGTAATATCACCAAGCACGAATCATCGACAACCGCTCATAATCTTCGCGCGTATTACCGTTCTCGCTTGCCGCCGTTTGTTTGTAACCGTTATTAAGGTCTCGAAGATCATATTGCTATCACCGGTCGAAAGTCGGTCACGACCGTCCGTACCTTGACGTATAAAATCTCCGGCGGCATTGTATTCACAACCGTTACAATATTTCGTGATTCGTATTGATAACAATGGATCGCAGATCGTTAACATCGGATCATAACAACGGTGTTTATTTGCGTTGTTCCCGGTCAACGGTTATCAGGGCCGGTAACAGACGCGGTTACTCTATTTCAAAAGTACGAATCAGCGAGCCGAGTGGGACAGCCCTCTCCGATACCGCGGTTAACGGCGATAACTTCCTTTTCTATTGCGTATCTTGTCAGTCTATTGTATATCATACCGGCGATACGAATTACTAGATAGTTTAAGTATATATTAAGTATATATTTGTCGTATTTTGAATAAACGAGCTACGATAGAGGGTTCAAGACGTTATCACACCGACGAATAACTACCGATCAGATCATTCGGAGCACCTTCCTCTCCAGCTAGACCTTCCTCTTCGGCGAGCGACACCACGAGAGCGGCGAGCGAGGCGCGACGGTGTACGCGACCGATCGTATCGAACCACCGGGCGTACCGTCACAATTTCAAGTAAGAACTTTCTATAAAATGTTACACATTTGGATTCTACGAGTAGAAACAAGTGAATCTTATCTGGAACATTTCTTTAAAAAAATACTTTTATCAAAAATTAAAAATTTTACAATAAAGTGTATTCAAACTAAAATGATGAAACTATAAATTAAATAAAAGACTTCACAGTTTTTCACATTTTTTACTTTGTTAAATGTTCGAACTATTGATTATTCACATTTAAATACTTAATTCTTTTTACAAAATTTTGTCTAACTCTAAACAATATTTCCAGAGTCAGGCTAGTACAAGCTTCATTTACTCTTCGTTTTAAATCTTCTTTTGTTGTAGGTAATTGAAATATATCTTTCTTCTTTGGTATATCCCTATAAAAAATAGTTCAATGGTGCAAGTCCAATGGCTAACTTGACTCTAGAAATGTTGCTTAGAGTTAGACAAAATTTTATGAAAAGAATTAATAAGTGTTTAAATGCGAATGTTCAACAGTTCGAGCATTTAATAAAATAAAAAATGTGAGAAACTATGAAGTTTTTTATTTAATTTATGGTTTTATCGCTTTAATTTAAATGCATTTTACTGTAAAGTTTATATATTTTGATAGAAGTAGTTTTTAAAGAAATGTTCCAGATAAAGTTTACTTGTTTGTTCCCGTAAAATTCAAATGTGTAACATTTTATAGGTTTCATTTGAAATTACGAAGTTTCCCCCTACCCCCTTCAGGGGAAAGCGGGGCCGGCCTTTTGTTTATATAGTTAGAAAGATAGTTTCGAATATTCTCGAACCTCATTTTGTCACAAACAATTTTTTTATACGACCAATATTTTTAGAGTTTTTGGATTGTCATACTTTACGTGGACCACCCTATATAATCATATATGATCATTTTCTTCATAAGCTTATATTATCGAAATTGAAAAAATACTTGTAATTCTGAGAAAATTGATTTTTTCATCCATGTTTACTAAGCAATTTTCACTCAGTATAATAACTATCTACGCTATAAGTTCTGAATCTAACTTTCTTTACACTCTGTACATTATAGAAGTCAAGTTCGGCAATACTCGTCGGGACTGTGAAGTACTTGACGTCATAACGTCATGTTATAAGGAATTCCCTCTCGACATCAGAAGGCTACGTTTATATGCAATAAATTATGATAATTATATGTGGCTGAAAAGAGAAGTCGTCGAAACGTAAATAATTCCGAAATACAATTTATTCAATTTCCTCATATTAAATTCCGGGAAATAATATCCATGTCGTCATCTTGATTAGTACATCGTCAAAGCATTTGAACGGCATTTTCCTTGTAAATTATTATTCAATTTGTTTTCAAGCATGTCTCTTTTTTTTCCTTTCTTTCTTTCGCTATTTATAAATACGATATAAGTAAGATTAATATGTACTTATAAGTAATATGTACTTATAATATACGTAAGTATATGTATAGTATATGTAAGATTAATATGAGAAACAAAAATCCCGTGTCTTATATCTTTCGACGGTACATTATCAATGAGATATTTTAACATCGAAAACATAAGTGTTAAATGTATTATGCAAGTTAACGTTCTCCAGATTTGATGATGATAGCATCCATTCGTTTTTTAACACATAAAATAGATAAAACCTTGATGAATTTTTCTTTCGTGTTTTGCGCGATTACTTCTTCCGTTTCCTAGTTTTTCAGCAGGATTGGAAAGTAATACGTTAATTTGAACGCTTTTCTTGTTTCTCATATTTTCAATAATAATTTATTAATTGTGTTATCTTTTATTCGCTAGTAATAGTAACATTAAGGCAGTTACAATCTTTTTGTAACATTAACGAAAATATAATCATTGTTTTTATCAGTACTCTACATAAATAGAATATATTTACAGACTTCCGTGTAGCAATGCGCTCATGCAGATAGAGCATAAGATATGTTTATTAAACTGATTGAAAGAAAAATGTTAGAAGAGAAATGTGTTTACAAGATATACAGGGTGTCCCATTTTAAGTCCCCCAAGCAAATATTTCGAAAAATATGCAAGATACGGAAAAATATTTCAGACAAAAGTTGCATGGTTTTAAAGGGGGTATAAAACAACTATCAGTTATATAAATATCAATTTGTTTACAGATAATGCCACTTTCGAGATATTCACTGACTGTTACTTTTCTTAAATGGGAATTCCAATTTTTTACTATATCAGCTTTTTCTATCAATTAATTTGAACAACTTTTGTCTGAAACATTTTTTTATTTGCCTAATATTTTTTGAGATATTTAAGAAAAACTTGGTAACTTTTTCAATATATAACTTACGATATCTCGCTCATTTATTGTCGAAAGAAAAAAATGGTACTAGACTTTTTTACTCTATTTAGTCTCAAGAATATATTGTTACAATATCATCCTGATTTTTGTTAATTTGATGATTTTGAAATTTCCAAAAGTTAATAAGTTAACAAAAGTTAGGGCACCATTGTAACAATATATTCTTGAGAGCAAATAGAGTAAAAAAGTCTAGTACTATTTTTTCTTCCGACAAATAGTTAGTGAGATATCGTAAGTTACATATTGAAAAAGCTACCAAGTTTTCCTTAAATATTTCCAAAGATATTAAGTAAATAAAAAAATATCTCAGACAAAATCTATTCAAATTAATTGGTAGAAAGAGATGGTGTAGTAAGAAATTGAAATTTCCATTTAAAAAAAGTGGTGATCAGTGAATATCTCGAAAATGGCGCCATCTGTAAATATTGGGTTGGCAACTAAGTGATTGCGGATTTTGTCGACAGATGGATTTTACACTTTCTTTTGTTTCGTTAACGTGTTCAAAGTACCTAACCTATATTCCTTTCTTATTGTTTGGACTTCTACCTTTCATTTAGTACAAAAATTATATCGATTAGTTCTTTAGTTTTGTTTTTATCCCAATTTAAAAATGGAAGAGCAAGACGTGCACTTCAGACATATTTTATTGTATTATTTCCGAAAGGGCAAGAACGCATCGCAAGCACACAAGAAGTTATGTGCCGTATATGGGAATGAAGCCTTGAAAGAAAGGCAGTGTCGAAATTGGTTTACCAGATTTCGTTCTGGTGATTTTTCATTGAAAAATGCTCAACGATCTGGCCGTCCAGTTGAAGTCGATGAGACCCATATCAAGGCCATTATCGATTCAGATCGTCATAGCACAATACGTGATATTACAGAGAAGCTCAATGTATCGCATACATGCATTGAAAAAAATTTAAAAAAGCAAATTAAAAATTTTGAATTTTCATTCTTATTTAAAATCCGCAATCACTTAGTTGCCAACCCAATAAATTGATATAGTTGTTTTATGTCCCCCTTGAAACCATACAACTTTTGTCTGAAATATTTTTCCATATCTTCCATATTTTTCGAGATATTTGCCTGGGGAATTTAAAATGGAACACTCTGTATATAGGATGTTCGGGATGTTCCGGGAAAAATCGCAATAGTTATTAAGTTATTAGTGATTGAAAATGATTCTTTTAGTTGATAACTTGAAAATTTGCGTATTTATTTGCAAAATGGTAAAGGACTTTTTTGTTTGGAATGACAGAATCTACAATTATATGATGGCTTTTGTGTTTAACGATAGGTATGAGTATATTGAATTTTGGACCTTGAATCTTGAACCTGTCGCTAGGAACAATAGCCGTCATATAATCGTAGGTTAAGTTATTCTGAACATAAAAGTCCTTTATTATTTTGCAAATAAGTACGCAAGTTCTCAAGTTGTCGATTAAAAGAACCTCTAGATGTGATCATTTTCCATCATTAATAACTTAATAACTATTGTTATGTTTACTGATATAATGATACTTGTTATGTTTACTGATAAAATGATACATGACTTTTCTTCTGAGTTTGATCTGATTAGTCTTCACAATTATTTGTTTCCGAAAAATGCCGGACACTCTGTATAAATAACTTTTTCGTTCAATTTGATAAGTTCTATCTGCACATGAGCGGATATGCGTCATCGCGTGTATAGGATGGACGATAGCCAAATAAGAAAAATTTGATGAGAATAATAACGAAAAAATTACAATGACTCTTTACCTCTTGAGCAAAACTTTTCAAAATGAAAATCGATAACGATAACAAATTATTCTTTTTTTCGATGAATACCGAGTAGGTCTATAAATTATATTTGCAGCTTCGGATCTTCGAAGCTTCAAACTTCGAATTTAACTTAAACTTCAAAGTTCTATAGTATTATATTTGAATAACAAAATTTAGAAGTATGCATGTCTAAACATTCGAATAATAGAAAGTCTGAAAATATAATATTAGGAACTTTGAATAAAAAATTTTTAATAAAATAAAGTATATGTACAAAGAGAGAGAGAGAGAGAGAAAGAAAGAGAGAGAGAGAGAGAGAGAGAGAGAGAGGGAGAGGGAAGGAGAGGGAGAGGGAGAGGGAGAGGGAGAGGGAGAGAGAGAGGGGTTGAGATAAAATTTAATAACTTTTTATTTTGTAATTCATATACAAATAATTAACATTTACTTACGCAAACTATTACAAATGGAATACCGATGAGAAGTGTATGTTTCATAAAGTTTCTCATTCTTTTAAGCACTTTTGCAAACATAAGTAACATTAGTAATAATATTTAGTGTCTTGAAGAAAATAATTTTTTTGCATGCGTCATGTTATTACAAAATATATGAATTAATTTTAAAATAAAGTTAATAATTTTAATTGTTTATCATTTGCACCTTCTCAATTCGTTTTGTTTAAAGATAGGTAGATACAGATTTTAAATTTGAGCTAAAGATAATAAATTGATATTAATTTTACAAAATCTCGTTGCACTAAAATTAATTCTACTGAAAGCTTCAAAATATTTGGACTCTTTTTTAATTAAAATGAGGATTTTTCGAGGTCAGAAACCAACTATATAAACGTCGGATTGTACTGGAAAAATCTCGAGGCTTCGAACGTATCGAATAATACTACGAGATTAATGGTAACGAGTAATTTTTTTTTTAAGTGACACCTGCAATCTTAATTTTCGGCAATTTTATCGATCACAGAACGTAAGAGATATAAAGTTGTGCTTCAGCTTGTATTTGCAACTCCATCTAGCTCCATCTAGCCATCGTTGACCGTGCTTATCGTGAATCGACCGCACCGAGGTACGATAACATCGAACAACACATTATTGAAGTAACAATATATAGTCGCGCATCGCCACGTTCGTGTGCGCGTGCATGGATGTGTATGTGTCCCACAAATGATATTTAATCATTTCTGCCGGCGACTCATCGTCACGATGTTTCGTCTGCGCTTCCAACGCGTTACTTTTATAGTACACTTGTGAATAATAAAATATACTGCCACGCGATCGCGCGCGAAAGGAAGAAACGAGCTCAGAGCGGGGATTGGATTTCTAGCGAAAAAATCCTCGATCGCGCGCTTTCACTCCTCCCGGCTTACAATCGCCGCTTCTTCGAATCGTCGCGAGGAAGTGTGGTTCTACTCTCGCGTGGCGCTTCAAAGTTGTCAGCAGAGTCGGCTCACACTTGCGAGGCCCGTTTACTCATTGTCTCGCTACATACAACTCCGCGGGTTCTCGCTCGATGACTCATGTACAATCGTACATCGATATATCATCGAAAGATAATGAAATCTCGCACGCGCGCGTGCGCGCGCGCGCGTTACAAAAAAGAGATAACATCGCGAATCAAAAAAGCCTCTCCATGTACGATCCAAATAACGAGAGATGTCTCAGACTGATAGCGAAAGATACCGAGCGGTCGCAGGAAGCTCGCGCCCGCTCGACGCGAAATTCCGACGGACGCTCGGCGAAGTGCCTCATCGAGAGAAAACAGACAGTGGGACGGAGGGGGAGGGAAGACAGAGGAAGAGAGGAAGGAGGAGAGAGAGAGAGAGAGAGAAAAGAAGAGAGCCGGGCTTCCTGAAGAGTAACAGGCGACTGCGGGGGCCGGCGAGCGGCCGAGCTAAAGAATAATAAATTATCGACTCCTGACTCCCGCGAGATTATCGTCTCGAATTCTACACATGACGTGTTCCGGACGGCGCGACGCGCCGGCGCCGCGACGGCCTCGGCGGCCGGCGCGATTCGCGAACGGTGAGCGCATCGCGGCGGTGATTCGCCGCTGGTGACGTCCCCGGCGGCCGGCGTTTGGCATCGGTGAACGCGCTCGCGGAACGCGGTCCCGTGACGTGGTTTAATCCGGCACTACCGCCTCTCCAGCCGCATTCTGTGGGAGACGCTCGAACCGCTTGCACACGCCCGCTCTAGACACACATACACACATACACACGGGAGTACACGCCACGCACACCACGTATACACCTGACACGTCGGCTGAGCGAGCGCGGTGAGTCGAGAGCGAGTCGAGCGAGCGTGAGCGCGTTTTTCACCGGCTTCACCGAGACACAACAGATCGGACACGTCCTTGGGCGCTTCTCCACCGGCTCTACCCGGTCCAAGTGGAAGGTACATCGACATCGATCGTCTCAGGGAGGGTGAGTAATCGTCGCCGTCGCCGTCGCCGTCGCCGTCGCCGTCGCCGTCGCCGTCGCCGTCGCCGTCGCCGTGATCCCCGATATAGACTCGCGATTCTCGCGCGCTGGCATTATATAACGGCCCCCTGGCTGACGAGGGGAACAGGTGCATACAATAACATCGCCGTCGCGCCGCCTCCACCAAGGCGCCTTAACCCGCGCGACGGAGAACGTCAGCCGCCTTCGCCGCCGCCGCCGCCGCGCCGCAGCTGCAGCCGCTCCGGTTTGAAAAGTGCTGCGTAGTCGTGGGATCGATTGGGCCGCGCAACGCGTGTTGACGTCGTCGTCGTCGTCGCCGTACAGTCCTCGGCGCGACTATATATTTTCGGCCGCGACGCGGATGTAATCCCTCCTTCGAGAGTGTTCCTAGCGACGGAGGGACCCTATCATGGGATGGTACCTGCGAGTCGCGAATTCTCGGAACTGCGCGCGACCAACGGCTGATGTAACTCCCGCCGGTTCGCGAAAATCGCAGTCACATGCGTCCGAACACCCCCCTCCCCCCGCTGACCGTTACGTAACCAGTCGGCCTAGCCGCTGTGACTGCTGCTGCTTTTCCCGCAGTGCGCTCGTTCATCGGCGAGCATCGTCGGGAAAGTTGCAAGCGCGTAAGTCTCAGCTTTCAGCGAGAGTTCGCATTCCAGCGCTGGTCGCCCGCGAGGAAGCAAGGACGTGACACGCCTCTCGTAGTCGTCTTCTTCGCAGTCTGCACTTGCCGCTGTCGATACGGCTCGCGCGGTTTTTCCCTTCTGACTGACTACAGCCTGGAGCGCGATGATTGTTTGCGATTAGTTTCCGCGAGTTCGGTTCTCCCCCTTTCTCTTTCTCGCTCATTCGGACCGCACCGACTTCACGCCGTTTCGGGAGAAAAGTGTAAGGTTCAGAATTTGTTGAGCGATCGTTGTTGGAAAGCGTTGCCATGCAGCACAGAAGTTGCAGCAGCAATATTGCTGCAACGTTGCTGCAACATTGCAACATTGCAACATTGGTCCAACATTGCAGCAACGTGTTTTCAACTTTGTGTGCTGTATGGGTTGCTAGTTGCTAAACGATGACTCAGCTGTTGAAGGAGAGAAGTTATAAAATAATAGACGGATAAGGAAAACAAGGAGGTGGAGAGAAAGAAGTCAAGAGGCTGCATGTGTTGAGAGAATTCTTGTAAAGAAAGCTAATCATCTTTGCACGAGTTGTATAGTTTCTTTAATTAGATACAAGTTGTGTTTTGTTTATTACTGAGGTAGAAGCTCCCTTTTGATTAAAATTCTATACATATATATATTTGTGTGTGTGTGTGTGTTCGATTGGACTTCTTAAAAGGTTAATGTAAACATCTATCAAGCTAAGATAACGGGAAATTTCGGCGGAGAAAAGGTGCTTCGATCATAAATAAGGTTGCCAGATGGCTTTGATTTGACGGCCGGGATTGTCCCAGAATTTTTTGAAGTTTGTCTCGTGTACCGGAATTCAAGTCTTTTGTCCCGGAAAATCAGAATTTCCAGAAAATTATAATCGTAATATTCATGTTTTTAACTGGTACTAGAAAGAAATGTGAGAGCAATCATTTTGGGATTTATGAGGTCGAAGAATTTGACGTGCGACCTGAGAAACCATTCGTATAGTAAAAAAAATGGGGCAATCGTATGATTTATGTCTAAACTTCTCTCTGCTCTGTATCTAATTCACACATTTATTCATTGCAAGTAAGCAACGACATCTCTTAACCGTTTTACCCTTCCATCTGTCAAATTCAACTAAAATTCTCTAACAACCCATTTTTCTACCTAAAAAATACCCCGGAAATAATCATCTTGCATCTGGCAACCCTAAATCTGGCAACCCTAATGAAAGGTTCCGGCAAACCAGCCGGAAAATAAAATTCATCAAACTCGGTATCTTGCAAAATTACCCGTCCGTATCGAGAGCAAGCATGCATGAGCGCGATAGAGAGAGGGATCTACCCTCTTCCTTCTTTCGCTCATGAGACATCCTTGACAGTCGCGATAACTCGTCGGGAACAACAAAGCTGTTTGCTCGCTCAAACGGCTGAGCCGAGATGTGCAATTGTACCGGCCGAGATATACAGGGAGATAAGATAAGTTACGTACGAGGAAGTCGTGATGTAAGATTCGGGTGTTGCAGCGCATTCGGAAATGACTAAGCGAAAACGCGAAGATGCATCGTGAATCCGGCAGGCCGCCGGCATTCGCATTCATTGCCAACTAAACAACTATCGACTCTCTATATCTGCCGAGACGAGTTTGTGCGTCGGAGGAAAGTGCAAAATTTACGAATCACGCATATCTCGTGTGTGTGTGTGTGTGTGTGTGTGTGTGTGTATGGGTGATAAGTGCGATTAATTCCCAGGCGGGATTAATTCCCCGGGGTGTAGACGGCCGATTTTTTATTGTGATGAGTTATTATCTCGTTTTTTGTTCCGCATAGCCGCCGCGGTAGAGGCTCGAGTATGAATATCGGCCGACACTTGTTTATCGAATGAATCGAAAGTGGCCGGCAATGACCTGCCGCCGTTTCTCGGAAATATCGATGTACAGGCTGAAAATTGTGAAGATTAATCAGATGAAACTGAGAAGAAAAGTCATGTAGCATTTTGCAAAAATCGCCGTAGTTATTAAGTTATTAATGATGCTGAAAATGACTGCATCTAGAAGCTCTTTTAATTGACAATACAAAAATTTGCGCACTTATTTGCAAAATGGTAAAGGACACTTTCCTGTCCAGAATGACGTAATCTATAATTATATGACAGTTATTATACCTAGCGACGAGTTAAAGATTCAGGATTCAAAGTTCGATATATCTATCGCTGGGCACAATGGCAGTCATATAATTGTAGATTAGGTCATTCTGAGCAAAAAAGTCCTTTACTATTTTGCAAATAAGTACGCAAATTTCGAATTATCAATTAAAAGGATCATTTTCAATCGTTAATAGCTATTGCGATTTTTGCAAAATGGTACTTGACTTTTCTTCTCAATTTGATCTGATTAATCTTCACAATTTTTCGTTTCCAACATATTCATATCTGTCACTAAACACAACGGCCGTCATATAATTGTAGGTTAGGTCATTCTGAACAAAAATATCCTTTACCATTTTGCAAATAAGTACGAAAATGTTCAAGTTATCGATTAAAAGAGCCTCTAGATAAGGTCATTTTCAATTATTAATACCCACACAGCACACTTTATCTCAGGGACATCCGACAAACATCATTCTGGGATACTGCAATATCTTGGGGATATACAAATGTCCGCTGTTTTAGATCCTACAGATATCTTACGGATATCTTTTTTACAATAGTAACTTTGGTTCTTTTTCAGAAACTTTTAATTTCCAAAAATTATCACTAAAAGAGATATCCGTAGGATATCTGTGGAATCTAAAACGGACATTTGTATATCCCCAGAATATTATTGTAGGATGTCTTTAGGATAACGTATGTTGTGAGGGTAACTTAATAATTATTGCGATTTTTGCAAAGTGGTACTCGACTTTTCTTCTCAGTTTGATCTGATTAATCTTCACAATTTTTCGTTTCCAGAAGATCCCGGACACCCTGTATAACTATTAGAAAGCAACGATGTAGATGATGCGTACGGGAGAACTGACGTGATGATAAGAATAAGCGCGAACATCCGCGAGCCTGTGTGTCGGACTAAATATTTGAAGATCGGGATTTGATCGATCGGGCCAAGATCGAAATCGAACGATTTGTTGAATTTTGTGATCTCTAAAGCTTTTTCCACTAGAGTTTCCTATATTTAGTTCCCGATGTGGACTTCAAAGGAGGTCCCAAGATAAAATGCCATGCGCGATCGAGTTGGTCTCGAATACTGAATTGTCCTTTGCGCTGTTGTTTTAGGCTTCCAAAATCCCTCCCATCTACGAACGTCTAACAACCAGCAACATTTCAGTTGAGGAAGGAGGTGTTTTTAACGTGAGTATCGCGAAGGAAACATCGGGGGTCGAGAGAGGAGTGTGCTAGATGGGACGAGCGGGCCGATTTGATCGGTGTCATACGAACATTTTAGGTATCAAAATCATGCAACCGTCAGCAGCTTCCGTCATCTGTTTCTCGTGGCGTGAGATCGCGGCCACTGGGCGAAGGCATTGTCGCCTCTACGAAGGTAGATACCATACCTCTGCTGAGCCCGACGATGGAGTCCGAAATTTTGAAGGAGCCTTGGGTATTCCCGCGCACAAAGGCAAGTCCGACGAAAGAAGAGGACACCTCTGCTTGGGAGGAGGACTTTCAGGATCTGAGCAGTTGGTGCATGGACACGTTCCAGGCTCAATGCGATTTTCATATAGGTGAATCGACTACGTTTAAACTATCAGGTACATATTCATCCGATGAGATGTTATGCATAATTGTAGTTATTTCAATTAATATTAACATCACGCTTATATAAAACGATTAGAGTTAGTCGGGGGATGAAACTTGGGCCGGCTTAACATTGGGGGCGACGTAGATTGTCGGAAATCTTTGTCATAGCGTTCGTTTGGTCGGATAAACTATCGAAATTTTCATGCGAAATGCGGTATCGTTAAGCGAGTCAAGGCAAGAGCTAAGACACGCCTCGCCCGCTTCCAGGTACGAAATACGAGGGTAACGGCGTTTCGACTGTGGAAGAGGACGGGATATTAAAGGGTTTGAGGAGTAGTACTGATGAGAAGCGGAACTTAAAAATGGATACCGTTAAGATGACGACCGAAGAGTCAAGTGACAATCGTCACTTGCCGCTGTCGCCACTGAATAACAAATGCGAGAAAGGGTATGGTAACGAGGAGAACTATGCGTCCAGCTCGTGGTTAATGTCACCCGAATCTACAGCTTCTACAAGTACTTCATCGAGTAAACAGCATAACACAACCGATGTTAGCGCACCATTCCAACCTGAATATCGCAGGAGCAACGATTACGCTTGCCTGACCTCGTTTAATTCCACCGCAAGCCAGCACGAAAAATGGGACGAGTTACCTACAATCGAGGCGATTGGGTCGGACACGTTCGACTTATTGTCATATCTTTGCGACGTAAGTTGAATGGATTTTATCGCAGACTTGGTCAGCTCGCTCGATCCGCCAGGTGATTTTTATACCGCTGCCGACATCAGCGACAAGTCATCGAGAATCGCTATTATAGGTAGTTAGTATAAAAAGTTACCTGGCAAGTCGTGAAAAGTAATGTACGGATTGACTAGGCATGATTTAGTGAAAAAAAAGAAAGTATGTCATTTCGCATTTCGATTTAATAAAAAGCAGATTGTTGCCGCAGGACCTGCGTAGCGCGCTCGCAGATTGGTGATGGATCATTATCGTATTGGTTTGCCGGTGTAAAACTGGCTTCGCTAACGACATCGATGTTTCTATTGCAGGACGAAATCTGTTCACCGGAGGGTAGCGTTTCTACCGACTCTTCGGCGATGTTGAAACACAGACCGTTCGCGACGTCGTCACCGACACTCACACCGAGCTCTGCGAAGGTGAAGACCGACGAGATGAGTGAGCCGCCAAAGCGTCGGAGAATGGAGACTCGTGCGACGTCGACAATGACCTCGTCGTCTTCCGTAGAGATCCCCACGACGTCATCTCGGAGATCAGAGAGGACAAGGTCATTAGCTAGTAACAAGGACAAGGAGAGAACTACCGTGAAGGCGAAGAGAGACAAGAGCGAAAAGAAGAAATACTACGAGAGCGACTCCGAAGGCGAGGATGTCACCCTCACGCAATACAGAGAATCTCGCGAGAAGAACAACGAGGCGTCGCGGAAGTCGCGGATGAACAAGAAAGCGAAGGAGTCGGAGATGGCCATGAAGGCGATGGAATTGGAGAAGGACAACAAGATCCTGAAGATGAAGGTCGAGGAGCTGGAAAAGCTCGTGACGTCGATGCGCAACGCATTGCTGCAGTCCGCGTTGAAGAGGGAGTTTTGAGTATGCGTTATTTTACATTCAGACGTTCTCGAGAGAAACAATGTCGCGCGTAATTTATCCGATCGATAAATACGTTACATTCTATTTTCATCCGTTATGCATGCGCTGTTACGCGACGATTATATCTCTCGATGAGAAATCGCAATCGACGCCGACCTGTTTGCCTTAACTGTTGCGAGATGCGAGGTTTCAAGGTGTCCCTAAAGGCTTACTATTATTGTTACTTTGGTGTTGTTTTGCCGCTGAGACGCGGCTGCCGTCTACCGGCAGGTATCTGTATTTTTATGCAACTTAATTGTCCAAACTAAACTATCCGCCGGAAGAAAACAAGCGATAGGCTACTTGTACATTGTTGTTGCGATGCGTGTTAAGATGCAACGTTTGGCTTGCTATGTCGGTACACGGGGAAATATTGTATATTAATCGAGAGTTTATTTTGCTATAACAAAAGACACTGAGAGATTAGAGTATTTTACGGAGTACATGACACACAGATATATACACACACACACACACACTATTGCGTGCGCGCGCGCACACAAGTAAATATATACAATATATCTATAATAAGTTATATTGTTTTGTATACATCAAGAGAGGGTACTACACGAGCAGACACACGACTTTAAATGATGCAGAATCATAACAGAGGTTTAATTGATTCGAACAAAATCACATATAGTCATATTTTGTTCAGCCTTGTATTGTACCTGATGCAAAAAGAAGAAAAAAACAAGAATAATCACATGCATATAGAAAGTTCTATCGCAGAGAAGCATGTAATTGGTATATTACACAGTTTTCTACTACTACTACTGGTGTGGAATTAACGATATCGATATGATGTAAGAGCAAAATCCAATAAAAACTTTGTTTCAGAAAACAGAGAGAGAGAGAGAGAGAGAGAGAGAGCGAGCGCGCGAAAGAAGATTAACCTGCCTCTCATGCGTTACCCCTGCACACCCTGTACACGCACCCACACGTACGCGCGCGTATAAAAATAGCGAGACACGTCGTCCGCAGACGCGACTTGTGCGGCGGTTTTCCATATCAACCGTCTTCCGCGGACACAGAACGCGATACAAGTCCCGTGTCGATTCGCGTTGAGAGTCGTTCGCGACGACACACGAGATACTCACGTGGCTCGCGCAAGGATATTATTAGATCGCATAATAACGCGATCACCGTAAACACACATACACACACACAGACACATACGCATGCGATGCAAGACGCAGCGGCAGGGTATTATGAGATAATTGCAAAATCAATAGCGGTTCGATACGCGATGCAGAGGGCAAGACAGAGAGAGAGAGAGAGAGAGAGAGAGAGAGAGAGAGGGAGGGGGAGGGAGGGAGGAAGAGAGAAAGAGACGATGTGAACGCGGCAGCAGACGCGAGCTAAACATTGCCGCATTGTACGGCGCACGCTGCGATGTGCGCCGCAATGTTTGCTCGGCGCGCGCGCGCGCGCGTGATCCTGTTCTAATGTTGCCTAACACGAATGGTAGCCGGCCGGCCGGGCAACTTCCCGTCTGCGTCGTCATCATAGGAACGCGCTTGGAAGAGCGCGTCGTCAAAGCGCTCCGCTAATCGAAGAAACGGCGGAGGAGCAAGTGATGGCGGGCGCGAGGGAGGTAAGACCTCTTTTCACTAATTGAATATTCGCCGTGTCACGAGACGTGCATGTATGCGCGGAGGAGGGGGGGCGGAAGGCTGCGCGCCCCTCTTGTCCCTCGCCGCTATAGCGCGCGCCAACTCGTTTGCAAATTGCACCGTCTCGCGATACGGTCGGTGAATTGTAATAATTAGCGGTCAGACGCGGCGACCTGACGGCGGGAAATTCGCGAGCGACAACGAAAGAACCTTCGCAAAGAAGGTCGATTTTTTGCCCGTTTTTCGGTTCTCCATTTTGGAATCGAATTTTATGCCAGAAGATAGTTTATGATGAGACATTAATTACAGAAAAGTTTTACGTTAAGCATACGTGATTGGTTTCAAAGATGTGGAGGGTCAGAGTGGTCACTATCTACTAAGAAAATATGACACTAATAACGCTTTGTCGCACGAATTTTTGCAAAATTCGGTATCTATGGGTTCTTTGAGTTGCTGATTATGAATCTGATGTCAGATTTTAAAAATTCAAGATGGCAGGTGCAACATGGCGGACACGCATAGTGAAACAATCGTTTACTTTTATTGGAACTGTTATGTTGTGATTTTTCTGGCTAGCTGATTGCGAATTTTCTATTAGATTTTCGAAAGTAATTTTTTCAACGACCATTTTTGAGCGGAAAAAATATGTTTTTTGTTTTTTCATAAAAAATATCAAATTCAAATTGATACGTTACACGACGCATGAAGGATAATGTGATAGTTTTATTTGTTATATTTAGAAGCTTATCTTGCCTTCATTGACTGAATAACTTTTTCATCTTGCCTTCACTGGCCGGATAACATTCTTATCTTGCTTTTATTGGCTGTATAACTTTTTCATCTTGCCTTCAGTGGCTGGATAACATTTTTATCTTGCCTTCATTGGCTGGATAACTTTTTCATCTTGCCTTCACCGGCTGAATAACATTTTCATCTTGCCTTCATTAGCTGGATAACTTTTTCATCTTGTCTTCACTAGCTGGATAACATTTTTATCTTGTCTTCATTGGCTGGATAACTCTTTCATCTTGCCTACACTGAAGGTAAATGTAAATCTGATAGAAAGTTCGCAATCAGCTAGCCGAAAAAACCACAACATAACAATTCTAATAAAAGTAAATAATTGTTTCACTATGTGTGTCCGCCATGTTGCACCTGCCATCTTGAATTTTTTAAATCTGACATCAGATTCATAATCAGCAACTCAAAGAAACCACAGATACCGAATTTCGTAAAAATTCGTGCGATAAAGCGTTATTAGTGTCATACTTCCTTAGTAGGTAGTGACTACTAGTACTTCCTAGTAGGTAGTGACCACTTTGACCCTCTATATCTTTGAAACCAATCGTATGCTCAATGTAAAACTTTTTATGATTAATGTCTTATCATGAGCTATTATTTCGCATAAAATTTAATTTAAAAAACGGGGGACTGAAAAACGGGCACTTTTTGCGGATGTTCTTTCACATCTCGGCGTGGAGTAGTTACACAGTCTGTCCCAGATACGATGAAACTGGTTCCATCAAAGTTCTTAGCGCAGCGATATCTATGAGTGAATGATGGTAGGTGAATGTTCTACCCTTCATCTACTTAACCTCAAAATTTGAGCGAATTCGGTTGATATTTCACTGTGGTTTAACATTTTATGTAAAGTCACTTTATGTACGTCGGTCGAAAAACCAATTTTTAAATTGGGTAAAAGTGGTGCAGAAACGTACGAAACGCTAAAAAATGTGTACGGGGATGAATGCATGTCCCGTGCACAGGTTTTCCGTTAGTTTGGCCGATTCCGTGACGGTCGTGAGGACCTTGCAGACGATGACCGAGCGCCGCCGCCAAAAACCACTCGCAATGAAGAAAACATCGAGAAAGTCAAAGAAATTCTTCGAAGCGACCGCTGTGTGTCTGCCCAGATATTATCTGGGAATTCTACAACGATTGTGGGCCAGAATTCGACGAGTTCGACCGGAATATCGAGAGCCAGGCAGTTGGTTTTTGTTGCACGATAATGCACCATCGCACAAAGTCATCATGGTACGTGAATTCTTGACCAAAAAAGGCATCATTGTTATCGATCATCCACCGTATTCACCTGATTTGGCTCCGTACGACTTCTGGCTATTTCCCAAACTGAAATTGGCGATGAAAGGAAATCGTTTCGATACCATCCCGGTCATCCAAAAGACTTCGACCGCCATACTAAAGGCCATTCCAGCCGATGAGTATAAAAAATGTTTCGAAAAATTTGTTGAACGTTTCCAGCGCTGTATTGACTCAGAAGGAGACTATTTTGAATAAACAAGAATAAAAAATCAAAATAATAAACGCTTTGTATTTTTTTTAGACCAGTCTCATTGGATCTGGGACAGACTGTGTATATATATGGGCCGCTGGATGACCGGTGATGACTGCGCGGTTTGTGTTCTTTGTGTTTACAACGTACGCAAATATAATTACCGCGGACGAATGTGGAGGCGCGGGTCGCGTTTTTGGCATACGCCCCGGCGTGCCAAACACGCAAATAGGCAGCTGGCTATATCGCGAGCTTCGTCTTACAAAGAGACACAGTGTCCCGCATCTCGACGGACGTTTTCCTCCGACCGTGAATCCATTTTAGGCCTGTATAGCCTGGCCTGCTTATTGAACGCTACGTGTGTCTCTTGGGAGCCGACTGGGCTATATGTGACGTTTACGTAAGGAAAGCTGGAATCGGGTGATCATGTTTTAACGCCGCGCCGTACGCGCAGAGTAAGACCCTTGGGGTGGTCGTAGGAATTTTCCGTTGGGCAAAGAAATAGGGCGAAGAGTGACTAGTTCTGCGCGAGTTCGGCGACTTTAGCGATCATGTAACCTCTCGAACTATGGCAACGTGGAACTTTTCACCGTGAACTTGTTCACGTTTTCCCGCTCTCAAGGTAATATTTATAGTCTAGTGTAAAGTTGAGTTTATCTTGGTATAATATACATCTGATGAAACGGCTTTCATATAGCATCTATGTCGCATCTAAAGATGAACTTCCATGACCATCTCAATTGTTAGCATATCCTTAAGAGAATACTCAAGTTATCTGAAATGAAGAAAAATATTTAAGAAAGATAAAAAATTCAAGAAAAAAAGCTTTTGAAGAAAAAAAGCTTTTAATCAGATATAAGTGGTATCAGATATAAATTCTAATCAGTGATATGAGTGATATAAATTCTAATCAATGATATAAGTGGTATATCTTGTTCAAGTAGTAGACTACAAAAAAATACTACAGAAAAGCTTTAAAAATATGATGCAAAGTATTAGAAAATGTGCTCATATATTACTCAACTCGAGAGATAGAAGTTAATAACAATAAGCATCTTATAAATACTTGATTATTTATGGATATTTCTAATATAAAAACATTCTGCACAGGGTAAATCATGTTAACTTTCTTACCCATTATAATAACTTTTATATTTTTGATTGTAGAAAAAAATATTTCAGACAAAAGTTGTATGGTTTCAAAAAAGGATATAAAACAATTATATCAGTTTGTTTACAGATGGCGCCGCTTTCGGGGCGCCATATTCACTGATCATTACTTTTCTTAGATGGGAACCCCAATTTTTTTATTATATCATCTTTTTCCACTAATTAATTTTGACAACTTTTGTTGGAAACATTTTTTATTTGCTTAATATTTTTGAGATATTTCAGGAAAACTTGGTAACTTTTTCAATATTTAACTTACGATATCTCGCTAACTGTTTGTCAGAAGAAAAAATGGTATCAGATCTTTTTACTCTACTTAGTCTCAAGAATATATTGTTTCAATAACGCCCAGTTTGTTAATTTGATGATTTCGAAATGTCGAAAGATCGATAAGTTAACAAAAGTTAGAACACTATTGTAACAATATATTATTGAGACCAAATAGAATAAGAAAATCTAATACTGTTTTTTCTTCTGACAAATAATTAGCGAGATATCGTAGGTTAAATATTGAAAAGTTATCAAATTTTCTTTAAATATCTCAAAAAATATTAGGCAAATGAAAAAAATGTTCCAGACAAAAGTTGTTTAAATTAATTAATAGGAAAAGACGATATAATAAAAAATTGGGGTTTCCATTTAAGAAAAGTAATGATCAATGAATATTTCGAAAGTGGCGCCATCTGTAAACAAACTGATATAGTTGTTATAATTTTATGTTCTCCTTGAAACCATACAACTTTTGTTTGAAATACTTGTTTCTACAATCAAAAATAAGAAAGTTATTGGGATAGGTAATACACACCATAAAATGACTCATCCTGCATATCGATAGCATAATCTTTGATCTTATATTTAATATTGTTTTATGTTTATCTTCAGAAGTCGTAAGAGCCATTTCATTGACTACATAGCTAAATTTATATATCTAAAAAGTTTCATTGAAACTTTTTTATTTAAAGGTAAACTTGAGATGATTCCATATATGTGCGTGTATATGCCGCGTGCACGCGCGTGTCTGTGTACGCATGCACACATTGATACTGGCTATCAAACAGAATCAGTCTAAATAACGGATAGGAACAACACATGAGAGATAGAGGGCGCTTTAACCCATTTCGTCCCAAATGTCCAATATTTTTCCTAGAGTTTTAAGGCTCTAACTTCTCATGTAAATGTCATAGAAAAAAATATATCACAGCATTTTTGATAGTTTAGAATCTTCTCTTTCGAATACCGTAGTCAAAATTGGCCTACGGATCGATTACAAAAAGTTATAACTGGTTTTTTGAAAAAAATGTCAAAATTTTCGTCATTTTTTCTGAAAACTCTATATTTCGGACAAGGAAAAATATTGCTGGACCATTGCAATTGGTACAAATCGTGTACTAAACATCTACTCTTTCGAACCCCATTTGAATTTTCCCAAAATTCAAGATGGCGGCGTCAAGATAGCGGACAGAAAATTAAAAAATCGTGAAAAATCATATAATTCTTGATTTCTCTCACCGGATTTTTTTTCAATTGTTAGAAAAACATAATATACTTATTATTGGATACATAAATATCATCATAGTCCCTGATAAATACGAATAAAAGCTTTCAATGTTCAAAAAATGTGGAGATCCAGATATCGCGTTCTTTAGCGTTCTTTCGTCGAACTACATTGCCGTTGCCCGACTTTCACTACGTGGAAGTAAACGCTAATTGGGGAGTCTCCTTTTATATATCTTTTTATTTGTTTTAATTTTTAATTTTTTTCAATTTTCTAATTTTTAAATTTTTTTTACACTTTTGATTTTTCAATTTTTCCACCGTGAAAGGTATCTGAACAAGGTATGCAAAAGTATATGTTACAATTGAAACAACGCTAGCTTATTCGTTTTTCACATTTCTCGCTGCAGCAATACTTTTTTCATTGATTTTGTTGAATCGTGTGTGATGTCAAGTATCCAAGACTGGCTTTTTGTAAATAATGATCGGCAACGAACATAGCGAAATCCTTCATATTCGTTTTTTTATTGTCTGTTTGAGCAGCATTTGATATTATCACATCATTTGAGAGAGGTGATTGAATCAATCTCAAAAAAATCTCAAAAAAAGTCTTAGTTGAATCTGAAACAATCAGGCAAAGATTTTTATTATCTACATACATAAAACTTTTGGAATGCATAGAATTTTAGAGAAATATTAGGTGTACAAATAAATAATCCAATTTTTTCTACATTCAAGGTTTATTTTAAGAGAAAGTAAATTAAATTGTTCAATCAAAGTATTCGCCGTTGCTTTAAGCCATCTTTCAGGCAGCTGATGAATTCCATCTCGGAAAAATGTTACGTCTTTGGACACGATAAAGTCGTCAAACCATTTTCGGATCTCATCCACTGATTGGAAGTGCATATCGGACAAAGCGTGTTGCATCGACCGGAACAAGTGATAATCGGATGGAGCAATGTCTGGTCCCAGCCAAGACTCATTATGGTGTCTTTTGTATTGGGAGCAATGTGTGGCCTGGCGTTGTCATGCAACAATTTTACTGGACGTTCTCCTTTGCCAGAATACGGGCGTTTTCGTTCCAATTCTTGACTCAAGCAGATTAATTGACGTTGGTAGCAGTCCGCAGTAACTGTTTCACCCGGTTCCAACAATTCATAATGAAGCACGCCCTTGATATCTCACCAAATGTCACCAGAGAAGAACCTTCTTTCCGAAGCGATTGGGTTTTGCGACCGATTTTGATGATTCGCCGGGATTTACCCATGACTTTCTGCGTTTCGGATTGTCATAGAGTATCCATTTCTCATCGCCCGTAACGATTTTCCACAAGAAAGCTGCTTTCGACACTGCTTACTGAGAAGAGAAAGACACGCTGCCACTCGTTGATTTTTGTTGGTTTCAGTGAGTTCATGCGGAACCCATTTTCCTTCCTTCTGGATCTTTCCCATCTCATGTAGGCGTTTGGAAATGGTTTGCTGCGTTACTCCCAACTGTTCTGCAAGCTCTTTTTGTGTTTGTGCCGAATTCTCAGCGAGCAGTTGTTCCAAATCATCATTAGAGCACTTTGGAGGGCCTCCAGGGCGTTGTTTGTCGATTAGACTGAAATTACCGCTTTTAAACCGCTTAAACCAAAATATGCACACATCGTACGGTACAACACCTTCGCCGAGAAAGGAACAAATCGATTCGCACGCTCTTGCAGCATTTTTTCCTTGTTGGAATTCGTAAAGAATGCAGTGTCGGATATGCACCTTATCTGTTGCCATTTTCGACTGTACTGAACTGAATACTTTTGAAGGTTATGTTGGGACTTTCGCCAAACTATATGTTCTTTTCAATAGCTATATGTCGACATTGCATAATCACAAAAGAGTGGGAAAATCTATTTAATTTAAAATTGATTTCATAACTGCTTAAAATAATTTGGATTATTCATTTGTACACCTAATAATTTTTTGCAATTTGGCACGTTATTGGAAAAAAGTTCATTTTTCAAACTAAAATTTTGTTAAACAAATGGTTATTGGAAAAAAAGGTTCAAAAAATCCTACGTACTCGAAAGATTTTATACATGATAATAAAAATCTTTGCCTGATTGTTCCACGTTCAACCAGGCTGGAGCTAGAGGTCCCATCGTTTTTTACGAAAAAGAACACGTCTCCGTAGAACTACGTCGTAGAACGTAGCCAGTACGCCATTTTGAAAACGAAAATAGAACAAAAATATGTTTGTACAGTTCAAGAGCTGCGTAATACAGGCCTGCATTTGATTCTTTAATAAAATTTGTTTTTCTACTTGTACAAAATGCTCAAACTTAGGTTTTTTGGCCTCAACCATAACGTTATCCCTTAACGTTTGCTATGCTATCGAGAATAACGACGGCTGGTGAGACTCTCGAGTCGACCCCGGCCGATCGAAATCGAAGAATCAGCGCGGTGCGCTCGAAAGCGGCCGTTTCGACTCTCAACGCGGCCGTGTCGCTGGTGCATCGATTGCCCGCATATCGCTTTCTGCGCCCGCATACCGTTACCTGTATTAGTCTCCGTCGCGCTATTATTATTCCAAACTGTCGGGACATCGCAGCCGACCGCGTGCACGATCGGAGCACGGACGTAATCACTGTCGCGACGGCTGCGAGAACGTCTGGGAAAGATGGCGAACGTGACGGCCGAGTGAGCGCAGTTTCGCTCGTCAAATCGGAAACGCCACCGGCGCTGATGACGAGTCTCTCCCTTCGATTTCCCACGCGCGATCCGCGACCTTTCCCATTTCCCGCAAGCGAGACGCTTGCTCGTCCGCCGTCCTCTCGGGAAGAGCGAGAAGCGCGCGAGCGGCTCTTCGAAAAATCCGCTGCACGAATGAGCGACCATGCGCGCGCAGCGCGAGCCGCGCTACTTCCCCCGTTTGCCGTCGGTGCGCTGCGCTGGTAACAGGTGGTTCGTCGCGATTGGTTGAGCGGCAGCGGTGAAGTGCCTTGCGGCATCAGCACGTGCAGGCCGCCGGGCCGGCATTCACGCGGGGAACGCCGCAGCGTACGTATTCGGTCGAGGTTCGCTCTCCTCCGAACATCCGTTTCGCACACACACACGCTCTCTCTCTTTATCTTTTTCCTTCTTTCTCTCCGCCTACCTCCCTCCCTTTCTCTCTCTCTCTCTCTCTCTCTCTCTCTTGCTTTCTCTTCGCCGCACTTCTCGTTCCCTCGGCCGCTGGAGTTTCGACCAATCGTTCTCCATTCACCTCGCTCCGTCGAGTTTCGCGCCACCGTTCGAAAATCAATAATCGCAGTGTATGTGCCTTGTGCGTCCCGGCCGCGTGAGCCTTCACGCACGCAACATACGTTCGTGGCCTGCGAAACAGGCAGCAGTCGCCATTGACGGCCACCGGGGCCCCACGAGCCGCTCGTAGGTGCGCGGGTGTTGGCTATTGATCCCGCTTGTCCCGCTTTCTTGCGCGTTCATCGGCGCCTACATTGTCGTCGCCGCCGCCACCGCCGTCGCCGCCGCCGCCGCCGCCGCCGCCGCCACCGCCACCGCCGCCGCCGCCGCCATCGCCACCGCCACCGCCATCGCCGCCGCCGCCGTCACCGTCGCCGTCGCCGTCGCCGCCGGTGATCGTACGGTACAGTACGCTACGGCACGATACGCAGCAGCCGAGCCACGAGTAGTAACAGTGTTGTGCCTTACTTTGACGTACGAGAGTGATTACTTCGGGGGCTCCAGAAGCGACCCTCCCCCGTCGTCTCAGCGGTAAGTACTAGCGTGCGCGCTCTCTCCTCTTTTTCTCTCTCTCTCTCTCTCTCTCTCTCTCGTGTTTCTTTCCTGTTCCATTCGGGCCTTATTAATCCCCGTCTCGGCGCGGCCGCGCTGGTACCGCCAGTACCGCTACTCGACGGCCGCAGTGGCGCGCTCCGACATAATACGCATGCATTGGTGCACGTGCACGCGCTCGTGTCCGCTCAAGCCGGCGCTCCGTTCCATCTGGTGCGCTCCGATTGCGCCGACTTTACTGGATTTATCATTGCGCGCAAGGGCCACTTCGCGCGCCGCCGCGCCGGCTGTTTCGGCGGAAGAGACCGGGGTGATGCCTCTCCCGGGAAATTTTTGGAGACGTGCCGAGAAAGAGTGAGAGGGAGGGAGGGAGAGACAGAAAGAGGCCGGTGTGATGCAGCCGCTTGGAATGCCAGAGGCTGCGGTAGCCTGGTGATGGATCCTTTGGGACGTTTCCGAGGCCTTCCGAGGGTCTCGGAGATTTACGAGTTTTTCTCGGGACGTCAATTATGCTTTTCTCTTGTTTTCTCAACACGTAATGAGGAAATCGCTCGTCTTAGATCGCCGCGCGCTCATTCCCTCACTGCGAGCTGCGGTCCCGTTGCTCCACGACGGAACGGAGATCTCTTAGTCACGAGGACGACGATCGTCCCTCATTCATTCCTCTGCTTGGCTACGTATCGCGTCCTCGTTTTGTTGTTCCGCCGCGATAAGGCCGGGCGCTGAGCAAAAATCGTATTTATAAGATTGACGTATATCGTATCTTACAACGCCCATGATAAAAGGCGTCTTCGCGCGACGCTCGTCCCTGTTACGTGAATTGCGCCTGATAAAAACGTATTCTCGTCCGCCAATCGGCACGTCTTATCTTTTTTCTCTCCTCTCTCTCTCTCTCTCTCTCTCTCTCTCTCTCTCTTGAAATACCAGTTTCGATTAATATCGACCGCGATTACGTGGAGTCGTTGGCGTGCTCGTCGAAAGGTCGACCGAATCGAGCTAGACGATTGCATGGAAGTGACATTTGCGTCGAAAGCTACATCCCGTCGAAGAAGCAGCGGGTGGGCGACGCTAAGGAGAGAAGGAAGAAAGAAAACTGTTGAGGGGAGAAAGAAAGACTAGAATTCGCACGCGAGGGTGGGAAGCGGCGCGGCGCGGGAGGACGGAAAATTCCCCGGGCGGGAGAAATAGAAGATACAGCAGATACGCGCGCAGGAGTCCATGACGTCATCGATCGGAGGCGCGTGCATCGATTCCGGCGACGATCCGTTCGTGGAAGCGAAACTGGATCGGCCAGCCCGGCCAGCGCGAATCACTCGCGAGTGCGTCTCCGCCGCCGGTGCGAGCGAGTGACGCAAATGTTAAGTAACGGAGATTGTTATGTTATTGTCGCCGCGCCGCGGACGTGTCGCTGCAAATCCGCCTCGGCTGCGCCGAGTATGCTCGAACGAAAGACGACGCCGCCGCCGCCGCGCCTCCGTACGAGAGTACGGAGTTCCCGGATGATCCTTCGGATCACGTGCACTCGCGAAAGTGAATTTTCCGGCTGACGTCACAACGTCATCCCAGCGGCGGCGGCGCATCGTATCCTTTGGGCAGCGTAATACGATGTGCGTTATTATTGCGCTACTTAACCCTTTAACGTCTACTGCTAGCTATAGTTACCAGAAACGTATTTAGGAATCCATAGCTTAGTCAAAAGAAGGAGATGTTTTCGATTTCCTTGTAACACTGTAAAGGTGAATTCTTCTTTTAAAAAATGGTACATACGTAGATTGTATGTAGATTCGGTTTAGTCTGTTTCTAGCTCAGTTTTAGTGATGACATGGGGCGGTCAGTTGCATTTTGACAACAAGAAACTGAAGATGACCGAAGACATCAGGAAGTGTTACAACAAGTACATGCCTGTTAAGGAAAACAGTAAAAGAGACATTGTCAATTGTGCAGCTCGAAAGGGAAGCGCAAAGTGGGACAAAAATAATTTGCAAAACCTGTAAAACTCCCCTCTGCGTCTCTCGATGCTTTATGCAAGTCTCAGTTCAAAAAAACTTCAAGTTTATTCTTAAAACACTTATAAAAAAGTCGGGCGTTGAAGGGTTAAAGTAGCCTATTTATGCGCGCGTAAATCGCGTCCTGGCGATTGTCGACGGAATGAAAACGGTAAATGTCTTCCCATCCCCCCTCCCCCGAACGCTGCATTCCCCGCGATTACACCTCGCGGCACGATCGCGACGATCGCGTCGCGGCCGATCGCGCTTAATCCGCGCGCCATTAACGATCCTCTCTCGCGCCGCGTAACATCTGCGCGCGGCAAGACGCGCTCGGGTCCTCCTCGCTCTCCTCGCTTCGTAAATTTTTCCGCAAGAAGAGCTCCACCCGCGGGTAAGGCAGATGGATAAATAAAGAAATAGATGAGGGAGAAAGATAGAGAGAAGAGGGTGGAAGGGGGGGGATTTTAGGGGAGATAATTCGCGCGGCATATGGCGGCCGAGGCGTTAATTTCTTTCTCCGACGATGAGCGGGGCCGATTAGAATTCCCGGCGTGCTCGTTCAATTAAGCGTTCTCCGCTGTGATTTCTCAACGCCCGTGCCGCTCGCACGGATTGTGGATCGTACCTCGGCTAAACTTCGCCCGTTGCTCTGCCCGTGATAACGTCGATATTTCACATTAAATATCCTATTATCTTGAGATTATCGCTATCTCGCTCCCGGCTAATGAATTCCCGCGATACGAGCGCACACAGCGAGAACGCGTGATTTTAGTTACGAATATACTCTTATTTTATTTTACCTTTTGTTTTTACTTTTATTTTTATTTCTACTTTCATTATATCTTATCCTTTGTGCGACACATTTTTCTTCTAGGAATCATGTTTCAAAGACTCAAAATGGCGGATCCAATATGGCTACCATGTGGGGGTGCAAATTGGTTTATAAAAAGAAAAGATCTAGCGTGCGGAAAATTCTGGAATGAATACATATTATATTTCGACAAGTAATTTTAAATACTTTGCAAAAATTACCTTTCCTTTAATCGCTCTCTTTTAACTTTATTTGTTTATAAATAACCAAAAATGAGCAATCAAATATGAAAACTACTGGGAACATGTAAAATATTAGCATATCAGGAAAATGTCATACTTATTTTCATTAAACTATAATCATTACATTATGAAAATGAAAGGGAGAAAGATGGTAAATACTGCCGAAATTTAATTTCTTGCAAAGTATTTAAGATTAGAAGCTAAAAATTATACTGAATATTTTTCATATACGTCGAAATATAATATACAGTGTGTCCCATTTTAAACGAGCCAGGTAAAAATTTCGAAAAATATGATAGATACTATGAGAAACGTTTCGGACAAAAGTTGTATGGTTTCAAAGGGGACATAAAACAATTATATTACTTACTTACAGATGGCGCCACTTTCGAGATATTTAGTGTTCATTACTTTTCTTAAATGGAAACCCCAATTTTTTATTATATCTTTTTCTAACAATTAATTTGAACAACTTTTGTCTGAAACATTTCTTAGTATCTTTTATATTTTTCGACATTTTGCCTGGCTCATTTAAAATGCGACACTCTTTATTCCAGAATTTTTCTTTTTATGGACTAATTTGCATGACAGCCATATTGAAAATCTGCTATTTAAAATTTTTTTAATTTGACTTAGCACTGCCACAAAGAGTCAATACCTTGGCTGTGCCTCGCAGGGAATGCAAAGTCACCGGTCAGCGAATTAATCGATCGAATTTCCTTAAGATCACAACGAATCGACCCGTGCTCGTTTTTTCCACTTCTTTTTTTCTGTTCATTTCTTCCGACGATTCGCGCGCAGCCAACCGCGCGCTATCGCTCGACGCGCTCACACCTCGCCCCGTCTTCACCTCGCGGATGGTACGCTTAACCCATAAAGAGACAGGTCCGTTGAACTCGTCGCGACGCACCCGTAATGCGGCCGTGCATCATCCCATAATATAGGACAAAAGGCAGTAAACGCGAAACCGGCCGCGGCAGATAATGCCAAGCGTGATACTGAGGTCACGGATGTGCTCATATGCAGGCGTTGCGCGATCCATGCTGGAAGCTCGTAACGTGTGTGCCGTGTACGCCGATATCCTCTCCGCGGATCAGCATCCAACGTCCGGTTGGATCTTTTAATAACACTTACATAAACCGTCCGTCCGTCCGTCCGTCCGTCCGTCCTCACGAGCTGTTGCCGCTCATCTCGTAATCTCATCTCATCGCGTTTATTTATTCATATCCTGCGATTTTTTCCTTCGCACGAACCTATTTCGAGCTGATTGCAGTTGTAACGTCGGGTCCATTTTTGGCGAAGAAAATTCTGCATTTAGCTCGTCGGGAGATTAAAGGAGGACGTGCGGTAATGGAGGAGCTGAAATACATAGCTGAAATAACAGGGCGGTCTTTGCGATGTTGCAGTTAGTTGATGCAATTGTGGATGTTGTGATATATGTATTTGGGAAGCTTCCTTCGGTTTGTTAGTCTGAGAAAGCTAAAGAGGATCGATTGAGAATCGGTAAATGTTAGACTAAGAAGAGATTTAATTTCACAGGAGATTCCATCCCATTAAATTTCATGGGAGACGCGATCTTTACTTTCAGGCGCCAACAGACTCGAAGGACCAGTCGTGAGGAATCGTCGAGTTCCCCTGACGGAACTACAAGCGCGTTTTAATTCTCTTCGTTCTCCATGAGCGAGTGCCATGTACTTGTAATCACCGACGCTCGCATCGTCCGGAAAACCGAAGAAAACAAAATATGTACTATGACGCGGGGAAATATGACATCGAGGACATGTGGGAATCATTTGGCTCATCTCCGTCCTACATCACAGTGAGTGTTTGGCTTTTTCTATGTAGCGCTACCCGAAAACGATAGAAACGAGAGTTTGTCGAAACAACTCGTCAAGTCGAACACATTCCGAGAATTTTGTCGATAATCTGATACAGAAAACATGCGGGGTGTTGCAATTTGAATTTCGAAATGTCAATCGATATGCTCTCCAAATTTCTTTGTGTAGAATTGAGTGACTTTTCATTCACACGAAGCGAATTCTTCCATTCTGAATCGTTGAATAAATATTTGTATTTAATCCTTTGAAACATAGTGGGATCCCACAATCCCATCTTTCATGAACATCTAAGAAATTAAACATATGGATGGATACAAGATAAAATTAGCTCATATTTGTCCTTTGTGTGGCATATTTTTTCTACCTGACGGATTTCTGTCGAATCCTGCATTTCTATTTTTTGGATCGCTAATTACAAATTTGAAGTCAGATTTAAAAAATTCAAAATAGCAGATTCAATGTGGCTGCCATATAGAGGTAAATTAGTATAAAAGTTGTCGTTAATTTTATGTCAGATTTACAAAATTCATTCAGGTAATTTGTTTGTAAAAAATATCTAGCATGCGCAAAATTTTGAAGAAAAAAATACATAGGGTATATAAAAAGTACCGGAACGGCAAGAACTAAGCATTTTAGAAAAAAAATGTTTTGAGACAAAAGTTGTTAAAAGTAATTAGTAGAAAAAGATGATAATAAAAAATTTGGAATTTCCATTTGAAAAAAGTAATGATCAGTGAATATCTCGAAAGTGGTATCATCTATAAACAAAATGATATAGTTGTTTTAGGTTTACCTTGAAACTTTTGTCTGAAACATTTTTTTCTAAAATACTTAATTTTCGAGATATTTCGCCGTTCCTGTTCTCTACTTAGTTTTTATACACGCTGTATATTGACACATGTGAAGAATATTCAGTAAAATTTTCAGTCTCTAATTTTAAATATTTTCCAAGAGATTAATATTTTTTTAAATCGCTTTTTTCAACTTTGTTTATAAATAATTAAAAATGAATAATCGGATATAAAACACATGAGAAATATGTAATGTATTAATATATCAGAAAAATTGATAAGATCATACTTTCATTACATCATATTTTCATTAAATCATAAATATTAAATGTATGTAAAAATTTTAGTCTTTTAAAATTTATTAGTAGTAGTTTATCATATATATATAATGCAGTGATTATAAATCAATTTAAAAAAATATTTTCCCTCATTTTCCATAATTTCCTACAATTGTCAGATTCTTTCGCGAAAAAAAGATATCTATTCGGAAGCAATAAATTTATCGAGCCATTTTCGTACCTCTACCACATTTCAAAAGTGCTGTCCTGCAGCATCGAAGGAGTGCTGCATCGACCGGAATAGATGATAATTCGAAGGCGCCAAGGCGAGTACGCCACATGCGGAAGAACTTCCCAGGCCAAGTTAATGATGCTTTGTCGAGTGGTCCGAGCAACGTACGATCTAGTTGTCGTGTAGCAAAACGACTTTCCGACTTCCTTGTTCAATAAATAGTCTTTTCTCTTAAAGAAGGATGTCGAAAAATCGCGATTTTTTAACTATGAGTGGAACGTAATACGTGCATTCTGCATTATCAAGAATATCCTGAATAACATAAAAAAAGTGGTTATATATTCTGGAAACTCAAGGAACATCAATTACCAGATCAAAGACGCACATTGTTTAGGATACCGTTGATCGACTGTTCTGCAAACTTTGTTCGCAAAGCAATTCCTTCATTCTAATTAACGTCGCGAGATTATTTTTTGCCTTAGATGTTAATAATATTCGATTAGCTATTTCAATATCTAGATCTGATGTCGTAACAGGCTTGAAAATTATGTTATGCAGAAAATAAGCAATTTTAAAGTCATCGAAAAGATATGTTATAGTTGTATTATGTATAGTTTTGTTAAAGTATTGGAACCACGTTTTTCATCCTTCCATTTACAATTTCTACTATATGTATGTCTAGTTTTTGTTATCTAGTTTGTTATCTAGTTTTGCTTACAAGACGTGAATTATTCGCTTGTTTTGTTGTGAGCTGTGCTGGCGGCGTATCAACAAATGATGGCATTTCTCCAAAAAAATCTGCTTTGGTGATATCATCCATAGCGTCCCGAAATCCTCGATCAATAATGATTATGTCACCATTTTGAAAATTATCCCAGACGTCTTGCTTAAGAAGATTAGCCATGATGATTGCATCGTTCATGTTATCGGGGTAAGATCCAAAAACGCCTGCTATGAATCCATCTGGAGTAACTATCATCATTGGTTTTATCAAATTTCTATGCTTATGTCCTGAATAAGTCATTCGCTGAAAGGCATAATTCCCACTTTTTTGAACGAATATGTAGGTTCCACTTAAAATAGCAATAACGAAATTTCCCAATAGCGAATGAAGAAATTTTGATATTTCCGTGCAATGTTTAAGTAAATTATCTCGATCGCAGCTAAGATTTAGTGAATTATTCGCAATGTCCACAAGAGATTTCCGAATCACATCAAAGTATCTGCTTGCAGTTCTCACATGCTACATTTCCCACACCTGTGGTGCGATTCTGTAACTCGTTATTAGAGTTAGCGACACTTTCGTTGCGCAGCTTTTATATGCGTAGAACGATAACGAAACTGTCGTTAACTCCAATAACGAGTTAAAGAATCGCACTACTGAGACGTTATCTAAATGACACAGTACCTGCTTAAATTGTGATTTCTTCAATCCTATTTCAGATATAAGATTTTTTTCTTCCATATCTATAAATAATGGTTTTTTGGTTCTCAGTCCCCTTTCCATCAAAATCATCTCTTTAAAACCACTCATCATTGACACTCATCTTATCAGCGTTCATACATACTTTATTACAATTTAACGAAAAATTCTCAGGAATTTGAAAGGATTCTTTTTCTCCATGTATACAGCAAGCACGTACTCCATATTTGACGTATATGTTTCTTTGAATGAATATTTATAGACACTCTTGCTTTGATAACAGTCTCAGATGTCGTTCTGGGCAACCAAAAATATATTTTGAAGAATGTACTGGAACTATTGGAAGATCTATTTTAATCGTCGAATTCGGATCACCATATTCATTCTTAACATCTGATATTCTATCAAGCCTCAAAGTAAGACCTTCATTGGATGAGTGCGATATAAATCTGTAACAGTTTTGGCAATATAGTATTTTTTTATCTCGCTCATGATAATCGATACGCTTGAGTTTTTCAAGATGCTTTTTGCAGATTTCACAAATCTTTGACATTTTAATAGTGGTTTGCTTTATCGTCCGAATATATTATAATAATGTAAGTAGTGTCATATTCTGAATATGGAAAAGTTTAAGAGAATAGTATTTTACAAAAAAAAAAATCACGAGCTAATGCTCATTTTCCATTAACATTTGTACATAATATACATATATATATATATATGTTTTTTTTTCCAAATATTAAAATATAATATATATTACTTCAACATTATAAGAAAAGATAAGTAAGATACAATCGATTTAATCTTAACATATATGGTAACGTTGTATAAAACAATTTTATCAAATGACTTTGGATTAATTGACAAGCATTTGTTTTTTATCAGCAATCAAGTATTGAGTATTGTTTATGAGTTTAGGACATGTGAATTTAAGTTTTATTGGAATAAAATTGTGGAATTGCTTTGTGAGCGGACAGTTTACAGGACAGTCGGGCAATGGTATCCAGCACCTGAACAATGTGCGTATTTGACCTGGCAATTGGTATTCCTCGAGTTTCCAGAATATATAACCACTTTTTTATGTTATTTAGGATATCCTTGATAATGCAGAATGTACATTTTATGTTCCACTCATAGTCCAAAAATCGCGATTTTCCGACATCCTCCTTTGTCGGCCAAATAATTCAATTGACGACTGTACAAAAGGACACATACAAAAGGACCCTCTTGCTATGAATATCTGGTTTTACCACTGATGTAGAGAGCTGTCCGGGGTCTACCCACGAATGTCTGCGTTTAGGATTATCGTACCCAATCCACTTTTCATCACCAGTAATATATTTCGACAAAAAGTCTTCCTTGCGCTGTCTGGAAAGCCATGAAATGTATGTACTGAACTAGCGGATAATGCCGCTTTTTGCGACAATTCATGCAACAACCATTTTCGAGCTTCTGAATTTTTCCCATTTCATGCAGTCGCCTTGAAACTGTTGCTTGGTCAACTCTTCTGCAAGTTCTGTTTGTGTTTAGGGCAGATTTTCATCCAACAACGCTGCTAAATTGTCGGCTTCGAGCCTTTATAGCGTCCCAGAAGGCGGACGATTATTCATGTTAAAAGCACTATCTTTAAAGAAACGAAAACAATATTTGCACTTATTGCGGGATATTTTCCCCAAGAACAGAGCAAGTGGATTTGTACATTTTAGCAGCATTTTTCCTCGTTGGAATTCATATCGAAAATGTCTCAGTTTAAAGTATTAATTACATCTGACTAAAACTTTTGCATATACTTAATAATACATCGCAAAAATGAAAGAGAAAAGCTGGTAAGTAAACTTACTGTCCAATCAGCAGACAATATTTTTTAACGTTTTTCAAATATTCATTTTATATTTTTTTTACATTTCTTCCGTTCATTGTGCAAAAAATATTTATTTAACGTTTATTTAATATTTATTTAACGTTATATTAATTTTTATATTAATTATTTTATATATATATTTATATATTTATATATATATCTATTATATATTTACATTAATTTTTCACTTAAAATAACCATTAAAAAAGAATATTTATTTAATGTGTTTTTGATATTTTCAAAAATATTTTTTAAATATTTTTTTCCGATTGGGTATCATACAAAGGATTAAGGTCATCTCGGCATTTGGCATAACGACTTTAGTTCAGCATCACTTTAGCATCACATATCACAGCTTCACAATGCGGGCTGATTTAAAGCACGCTACAATATCCG